TCTGCGCGTATCTCTATTTTAATAGATGGATGAGGAGGCTTCAAATCAAGCAGGAAGAATCTGAGTGGCATTGCTGATCACTTTTTCTTTCCACGCCTTTCCCCAAATGCATCCTAAGCCAAAATTTCTAAGTGCAGAAATTATCACAGAAACGTAGACTTTGAAGGTGATTTGAAAGAAATCCTTTGGCACCCACAAGCACCATTCTGCTCTGTTGAAGCTGCCCATCTTTTTCACCAAGCTTCTGCAAAGATGCTACTTCAGAGGGGCCTGATCCTTAAGGACCGGTTTCTTTAAGGCAGTGGGTCCTTTTTAGTTCATGTTTGCAAATGTGTGCCTGAACTCTGGACTGTCATTAGCCAGGCCATTGGACCCTGAGGATTAACAGTTAGCTCAATTAGTGCCTGGAGGATTGTTTTCTGCTTTGAGTCTTCTGTCAACGAAAGGAAAGACACTGCGGTGTTGAAAATCACTAAGGGAAGAATTGGAGATGTGACTGAGTGGCCACAGGCTAGGACTAAGCTGTGACAGGGGAAATCAAACTTTTGCTAGTTTTTATATATGACCTTTCATGCATATAGACTCATCTTGACCCCATAACCTTGGTTCTCCCATTCTGACTATAATACTGTTGTCCTCATTTGGTGTCCTTTATGCGTTGAGGACATATTTCTAAAGTAGGAAGCTAACTGCATGTTGATCTCCACTCCTCAAAGCAGACCTCGCTTTGTGTACAACATCTGCAGCCTTGGGTGCCACTCTGGGCAGGTCAGGGGCTACGCTCTCCACAAGGATGGATCAAGGTCCATTGTGGGTGGAGAGTTTCAGCAATTAAATGAAGTCCTTTAACCATTGCAGATCCTAAGATACCCATGTTACTCCTTAACTTCACTGCAGGTAGTCTTTCACTTATGACCATAATGGAATCTGCCAATTATGGTTGTAAATCACATGACCGACCCAACTTTACAACATAAACAACAGGCAGAGCCTTTTTTTATATAATAATTTTTTATTTTTCCAAACTCTGCCCCATACATATACCATGATATTTATCAGATGTTAACATACATTCTTTTTACATTCATATATAAGATACTTTAATAAAATGAAATAAATACATACACATGACTTTTGGTGCTGCTTGCCCATTTCCCCTTTCACTGTATCCACACTCCTTCTTCTCTACCTTCTTTCTCCCTTTCTTCTCTTCCCTACTTCCCTCTTCTTGCTCTCCTCTTCTCTTTCCTTCACCACTCTCCTCCCCTTTCTCCTCACTTCTCCTCTTCTCCTCCAACCTTCCTACTTCCTTCTCCCCTCCTTTATTCTTTTCTCTCTCCTCTCCTTTCTTCCCTCTCATCCCTCTTCAGATACAATTCAGGGGTAATGTCCGAGCAACTCCTCTCTCCAAATTTCCCTATCTGTATTATATACAATAAGATTAATTTTCTCTTACATTAATACTTCTATTTATCTAACCTTCTCGATATATACTTCTATAAATATTTATACAACCTCCAGTTATTCAATACTGTGCCGCCTGGGTCTTGGGTCTCCCTGCAACAGGCAGAGCCTTGACTGCATCATCGTGACCACCATATTTAACCATGTGGACACCCTGCATGCATATATTTAAACAGGGGAGAAAAAGCTCCAGGTTTGGTTTCATTTGGAGGTGGTGGTCCTAGGTTGAGGAGGTGGAGAAGATGAGTACTCTTCCTTTCTAATGGGAGGAGGAGCGGGGTCAACCTTGAATTCAGAGTCATCATCCAGATGCTGTGGACCGAATCCTGTAGACGCTTGCCTTAAAGCAATCTTCTTCCGCTCTAATCATCTTTAAGATCATGTTCCTTTCCTAATGCTTAGTGGTGATGTCTCTATTTACATAATGGCTGCACTGTGAAATAAAACCAGGTGGTGAGGGTAATGAGGTATCTCCTTTAATGATGAGCCACTACAAATTGCTATCACACACAAAACTAGAGTCAGGGAGTTAATGAGAAGACTAAGGGATGATAGATGGTGACAGAAACAACCTTGGAAAGTCATATCCTCCCCTGAAACTTCAAATAACTCCCACAATCAACAGTGCAGTTGGCAACTTGCTCAAATTTCACTCAAGGGTCTTGCCATTGTTAGTATCATTTTTTGTCAGTATCCATTCCGATGGAAAAAGGGCCAAAATAGTTTGTCCAATATCCTTTTCTTAAGGTGAAACTCAAATGACACCTCTTCCTAAATTTGTACAGAAAGATATCGTGGAGATTGACACAACATTGTGATGTTCATTTTTACTTTTGGGGACTCACCAATTTTGGTCGGTGCAAGATTCCAGACTCTTTCTGTAACTATGGAAACAGAAACTACCAGGAATATAGAAAATGGTTTTTAAGAATTCCCTGTCTGGATTATCCGGTGGCCTTCTGTGGGGATTGGAGAGTTGGATTACATTTCTGGAAAGTATATAGCTGCCTTTCAGAAAGCATTTCAGCAGCTGTGCACTTTCTTGGGAATTTATTTTATATTCAATTCTGGGGAACTAAGGTTCTTTCACATGTATATATGGAGAGAGAGAGAGAGAGGGAGGGAGGGAGAGGGAGAGAGGGGGGGAGGGAGAGGGAGAGGGAGGGAGAGAGAGGGAGGGAGAGAGGAGAGGGAGGGAGAGAGAGGGAGAGAGAGAGGGACAGGGAGGGAGGGAGAGAGAGGGGGAGAGGAAGGAGGGAGAGAGGAGGGAGGGAGAGGAAGGGAGAGAGGGGGGAGGGAGAGAGAGAGGGAGGGAGGGAGAGGGAGAGGAGGAGGGAGGGGGGAGAGGGAGGAGAGGAAGGGAGGGGGAGAGAGAGAGAGGGAGAGAGAGAGGAGAGGGAGAGGGAGGGGAGAGAGAGGAGAGGGAGGGAGAGGAGAGGAGGGGAGAGGAGAGAGAGGATAGGGAGAGGGGAGAGGGAGAGAGAGAGAGGGAGAGGGAGGGAGAGGGAGAGGGAGGGAGGGACAGAGAGAGGGAGGGGGGAAAGGGAGAGGGAGAGGGAGGGAGAGAGAGGGAGGAAGAGGGAGAGAGGGAGAGAGGAAGAGGGGGAGGGAGAGAGAGGGAGGGAGAGGGAGAGGGAGGGAGGGACAGAGGGAGGGAGGGAGAGAGAGAGAGAGAGAGAGAGAGAGAGAGAGAGAGAGAGAGAGAGAGAGAGAATATAGCAGAATTTGTAATTCTGCATGGATCAAAGGTGGAGGAACTTTTAGATCCGTTGAGATTTCTGACCAAAAAACCACAGTTTTGGTTACAAAAGAATTTATTTCAAGATAACCATGTCAGTAGTTAAGTATATCAATGCAAGAAGAATGAATTACTCCTTTTCAGCTGTTTTGACCATAAAGAAGAAGAACTTTATTTCAGGGCACGGGACCTGAAATAATGATCTTAAATTAGATTTTGGTTGAGCATGGCCAGAAATCAACCCAAATGATGCTAGAATTGCTTAATATTTCTCTCAGTTTCATGAATCACATTGGATCTCCCAATTGTCATGATCAGTTTTATTTACTCGGGGGGGGGGGGGGAACGTACATATTTAGGAATTGCACATTTGTAATTGTCTTGTGTGTTTCTGGGTTTGAGGTAGCAGCTTCAGCAGGAAAGTAACAAGCAGAAGAACAATGAATTCTGATGATCAATTATCACAGTGAGCTCCCAGGAGTGAAATATGATGGGATTTGGGTCCTTCTCCATCCCTTCCAAGCTTCCCAGCTCCCATATTGATAATAGCCTCTCTGCATTCAATGTATTTGATAACTGATGAAGCATTGATAAACACAACTAGAAGATCACCAGGATGTAAAAAAGATGTTGAGACTCTAGAAAGAGTACAGAGAAGAGCAACAAGGATGATTAGGGGACTGGAGGCTAAAACAGATAAGGAACAGTGGCTGAAATTGGGTATGTCTAGTCTAATGAAGAGAAGGACCAGGGGGGACATGATAGCAGTCTTCCAATATCTCATGGGCTGCCACAAAGAAGAGGGAGTCAAGCTATTCTCCAAAGCGCCTGAAGGCAGGACAAGAAGCAACGGGGGGGGGGGGGAACTAACCAAGAGAGAAGCAACCTAGAAGTAAGGGGAAACTTCCTGACAGTCATAACAATTAACCAGTGCAACAACCTGCCTCCAGAAGCGGTGAATGCTCCAACACTGGAAGTTTTTAAGAAGAGACTGGACAGCCATTTGTCCGAAATGGTATAGGGTTTCCTGCCTGAGCAGGGGGTTGGACTAGATGACCTCCAAGGTCCCTTCTAACTACTACTACTACTACTTATTATTATTATTATTATTATTATTATTATTATTATTATTATTATTAATCATCGTACAGTCAGCCAGATGTTCAGATTGGATTTGGCATTTTGTATTATTATTATTATTATTATTATTATTATTATTATTATTATTATTATCTATTTTGAAGGCCAATTGATGGTAGGAATACTGAAACCGCAGCTTCCGAGGAAAGAGACCGGTGGTTTTCCATGACAGCAGAATCCTGGGCTTGGATGCAAAACTTTTTTAAATATTATTTCATATGTGATATCCTCATATTCTATAACTATGCTTTATAGTTTTGGAAGTGTTAGGCATCTTCATGCAGATCATTTCTCTTATAGCTGGTACCTTTGAATACTTAGTAAAATTTAAAAAATAAGAAAATTAAATGGGATAAATTGATTAAAGCCTACCATAACTATAAATGAATCTTTCTGGCAACCCCATTGAATCACTTTCACATTCATCAAGATTAGTTGGTTGAGTCTTGTTTCATCAGGAACAAAACCTGCACGCTGTTTTCTATGTTATTAGCAAGAATTGCTTCATCTTATATTGTCCCAGAAAGTTTTTAGCTAGATCAGGACCTTGTTTCTTCTAAATCACACATATTTTGTTTGTCACTCTGTCCAAAACGTACAACAATAGAATAATATACATGAATAATATGAAAACCCTGTTTCCTTCCTATTTCCACAGCTCCCTTCCGTTCTTCCAAGTCTGCAGACAGCCTGGTTAAGTTTGATACTTATGGTGACGGGATCGGGAGATACAACGTCTTCAACTTCCAGCAAGCCGGAGGCCGGTATTCCTACCTGAAAGTGGGACAGTGGGCTGAAACCTTGACTCTGGAGGTCAACGCTATTCACTGGTCCAGAGGCCTTGTTCCCGTGGCCCAGTGCAGTGACCCCTGTGCGCCCAACGAGATGAAGAATATGCAGCCCGGAGATGTGTGCTGCTGGATCTGCATTCCCTGTGAGTCTTTTGAGTACCTGGCTGATGAATTCACCTGCAGAGACTGTGGCCCAGGACAATGGCCCACCGTTGACCTCACCAGCTGTTATGATCTACCAGAAGATTATATCAAGTGGGAAGATGCGTGGTCCATCGGACCGGTGACTATCGCATGCTTGGGCTTCATTTGTACTTTCCTAGTGGTGGGGGTTTTCATCAAGCACAACAACACGCCTCTGGTGAAGGCTTCCAGCCGCGAGTTGTGCTATATCCTTCTTTTCGGAGTCTTCCTCTCCTACAGCATGACCTTCTTCTTCATCGCCAAGCCTTCTCCAGCCATATGCACCTTGCGTCGTTTGGGTCTGGGAACGTCCTTCGCCATTTGCTACTCGGCTCTCCTGACCAAAACAAACTGCATTGCCAGGATATTTAATGGGGTGAAAAATGGGGCGCAGAGGCCGAAATTCATCAGCCCCTGTTCTCAAGTCCTCATCTGCCTGAGTCTCATCATGGTGCAAATTGTGCTGGTGTCCGTGTGGCTGATTTTAGAAGCTCCGGGCACTCGCCGACACACCCTTCTGGAGAAGAGGCAGACGGTCATCTTGAAATGCAATGTCAAAGATGCCAGCATGCTCATCTCTTTAACATATGATGTGATCCTCGTCCTCTTATGCACTGTGTATGCCTTCAAAACAAGGAAGTGCCCAGAAAATTTTAATGAAGCCAAATTTATTGGATTCACCATGTACACAACTTGCATTATTTGGCTGGCATTCCTGCCAATCTTTTATGTGACGTCAAGTGACTACAGGGTAAGGTATCAGCCGTCATTTCAGCCAAATACTAACCCATGGTTAGAAACACATTCCTTTCTTTGTTTGTTTGTTCAAAAGTCAGCCCAGGGCTAAACGAATAACTGAAGTGAATATAGTCTATGGCAGATAGAGATTTTCAGCAATGTGAGGGCAGAGAACATAGATATGTGGAATACAAGTGCCACTTTTTCTCAGAAATTATTAGACATTGTGTCCTTGAGATGGGTAGAATCAGGGGAAAAGACTGAACTGAAACATAACTAGCAAAGCCATTTTTCCTCTTTTAGACTTTCATTTCATTCATTTGTTGAAGGAAAAGTCTTCATCAGGCTCCAGTCCAAGCCGGTAATAAACAACATGGTGATTGTTTTAGAAAAAAGGTTGTAGTTTATTGAAGAGGATTGCTAGACAGAAAGATGGCTCTGGAAGAAAAGAGCGAGAGCACATAGGGAGTGCATTTTTAAACCCTCTGGGGCTCTTGAGGTTGTTTCCTGTTCCTGTTTGAAGCTTTGTATTTCCTGTGTCATGTACTTTGACCTGAGTCTGAGTGTGCTCCTTTGGCATTTGTGGGATAATCCTATTATGTCCTGTCTTAGTTTGGGTGGGGTATGTAGATATTAGGTGTCTTTGTCTTCCTAAGCTTCTAGCTGGAGGGCTCCAATCTTCCTGAATGGATTATCACATCTGCATTTCTACAGAGCTAGTTTCTGCTTGGGGGAGGGAGACTTGGGGCTATAAAGAAAAACTGGGCATGCTTTTCTGACTCTTTAAGATCTGTTGAGGAAATATAATATTCTGCCCTTTTAATATTTCCTTCTCGGGGGGGGGGGGCTGACTTCCACAAATTCATTCACTCATTCATTCATTCATTCATCCATCCATTCTTTCATTCATTAGATTCATATTCCACCTTTTCTTCAGGAGTTCAAGCTCATGTCTGCATACTCTCTCTTCCCAAAATCCTGCGAAGTACATTGGGCTAAGTCTAAGACAAAGATTGGTCAGTCCTAAGACACCCAGGGCCGTCCTATAGCAATAGCAATAACACTATGTACCACTTCATAGTGCTTTACAGCACTCTCTGAGCAGTTTACAAACACCAGCATATTGCCCCCAGGTCCTCATTTTATCAACCTCTTCGATGTTATGTCACTTTTGTCCTGCAGCAAGTTGTCCTGTGGCAAGTTGGCCGTGGTGAATTGTCCCCGTGGCAAGTTGGCTGAGTTGAGTTGTCCTGGACTCTTCCCACTTCATAGGTTGCAGTTAAGAGGAGTCGTCATCTAAACACGTGTAGAAGGCTACCTTTGATGCAGAGGGTTCATCTTTCATTCTTCGTTGGCAACATCTGAAATGAGAATTCATGTACCTCCCTAATTTTGCAATATTTTTTTCCAAACATTATTTTTTTTTCCCATGCAGGTGCAGACCACCACCATGTGCATCTCTGTCAGCCTGAGTGGCTTCGTTGTCCTGGGCTGCTTGTTTGCTCCTAAAGTGCATATCGTTCTCTTCCAACCACAGAAGAATGTGGTCACTCACAGGCTGCACCTCAACAGGTTCAGTGTCAGTGGGACAGGAACCAGTTATTCCCAAGGTAATCGATAAAGTTGCTGCAGCCTTTTCTTCCTTTGACAAGAAAAAAAAAATGTTCCCTTCATTTGAGCACTTCTCTGTCGCTGTCCCAGAAAGTCATAGAAGCTGATAGCCGCAGCAAAATATCACAAATATTTATTTATTGGTATCTCAACTTTACTATTTTTACAAATAACTCAAAGCCGTGAACATAATTACCTTCCTCCTTCTATTTTCCCACACTAACAACCTGTGAGGTGAGTTGGGCTGAGAGTGAGCAACAGGCCCAAAGTCACCCAGCTGGCTTCCTTGCCTGGGGTGGGACTAGAATTCACTGTCTCCTGGAGATTGGCCCAAAGTCACCCAGCTCGGTTCTATACCTAAGGCAGAACTAGAATTCATTGTGTCCTGGTGATTGGCCCAAAGTCACCCAGCTGCCTTCTATGCCTAAGGAAGGACTAGAATTCACTATCTCCTGGTGGTTGGCCTAAAGTCACCCAGCCTGCTCCCAGGCCTAAGGCAGACTAGAATTCACTGTCTCCTGGTTATTGGTCTAAAGTCACCCAGCCGACTTCCAGGCCCAAGGCAGACTAGAATTCACTGTCTCCTGGTGAGGTGGGGGTGGGCGGCACCGTATTGCGGTGGTTCTCCTCCTACCTCTCTGACAGGTCGCAGTCAGTGTTGGCGGGTGGACAGAGATCGACCCCAGGCGCCTCGATCAGGGGGTGCCTCAGGGCTCGGTCCTGTCCCCCCTCCTTTTTAACATCTACATGAAACCGCTGGGTGAGATCATTCGGCAACACGGGGTGAGGTATCATCAATACGCGGATGATACCCAATTATATATCTCCACCCCGTGTCCTTTCAGTGAAGCAGTCGACGTGATGTGCCGGTGCCTGGAAGATGTGAGGGTCTGGATGGGGGTGAACAGGCTTAGACTCAACCCTGACAAGACCGAGTGGCTCTGGGTCTTGCCTCCCAAAGGCCAACTGGATGGTCCATCTTTAGTCCTGGGGGGGGGGCAAATTTACCTCCCTCAGTGCAGGCATGCAACTTGGGTGTCCTCCTGGACTCACAGCTAAATCTGGAACAACATCTATCGGCTGTGGCCAGGGGGACCTTTGCACAGGTTCGCCTGGTGCACCAGTTGCGGCCTTATTTGGACCGGGAGGCTTTACTCACAGTCACTCATGCCCTTGTCACCTCAAGACTGGATTACTGTAACGCGCTCTACATGGGGCTACCCTTGAAGGGCGTTCGGAGGCTGCAGTTGGTTCAGAACGCAGCCGCGAGAGCGATTGTGGGCGCGCCAAGGTACGCCCACGTGTCACCTATCCTCCGCGAGCTGCACTGGCTTCCTGTGGGTCTCCGGACGCAATTCAAGGTGTTGGTTATCACCTTTAAAGCCCTTCATGGCATAGGGCCAGGTTACTTACAGGACCGCATTCTGCCGCACAGCTCCCAGAGACCGGTGAGGTCCCATAGATTGGGCCTCCTTCAGGTCCCGTCGGCCAGACAATGTCGGCTGGCGGGCCCTCGGGGAAGGGCCTTTTCTGTGGTGGCTCCGACCTGGTGGAATCAGCTTCCCCCCGAGGTTCGAACTACTCCCACCCTGCCGGCCTTTAAGAAGGCCGTTAAAACCCTCCTGTTCCGGCAGGCCTGGGGCTGATGTCCCCGGGGGGCCGGGATATGATCGGACTCGCGGTATGACTGCTTTATTTTATTGTTTTATCATTGTTTTAACTTTGTACGCCGCCCTGAGTCCTTTGGGATTGGGCGGCATATAAACACTGAAAATAAATAAATAAAGTCACCCAGCCGGCTCCAGGCCTAAGGCAGACTAGAATTCACTGACTCCTGGTGATTGGCCTAAAGCAGTGATGGCGAACCTTTTAGAGACTGAGTGCCCAAACTGCAACCCAAAACCCACTTATGCATCATCGAGTGCCAGGTGGGTGTGGCCAATTCGCTGGGCGTGGCCCATTGGCTGGGCGTGGCTGTAGTAGTAATGGCAGACTGGGTGGGACTAAAAAGTTCAATCAATCAATTCCAACTTTGCAAGATCTTTTTTTTTTCTCGCGAGAAGTTGAAATTGACTGATTGAATCTTTTTTTTTTTTTTTTGCACATGGTGGCAGAGGCCTAAAGTGAAAAGGTTTTATAAAACCCAGATGAAGGCCTAGGACTGGGGCAATGGCGCGTGTGCCCACAGAGAGGGCTCTGAATGCCGCCTCTGGCACCTGTGCCATAGGTTCGCCACCACTGGTCTAAAGTCACCCAGCTGGCTTCCAGGCCTAAGGCAGACAAGAATTCACTGTCTCCTGGTGATTGGCCTAAAGTCACCCAGCCAACTCCAGGCCTATGACAGACTAGAATTCACTGTCTCCTGGTTTTTTATTCTTAGTATCATTTCAGCACTGACACCCGGATTTCCAAGAGGTCGAATGTGAAGTCAACCAAATCAAAATGGCACTGGTTGACCATGTGATCAAAGTTCTGCCCTGTTTTTAAACATTTTACCTTGTGGGGGGGGGAAATCCCTTTGGTTTTAAAAAAAATCTCGCTGTGATTCTGAAAATTTGACACTTGTGGTAGTCCTCTGTAGCCTCTAAAGCCAGTTTTTCTCTTTCAGCCTCAGCAAATGTCTACGTTCCAACGGTTTGCAATGGAAGAGAAGTTGTGGATTCCACCACCTCCTCCTTATAATCCTTCGGCCGGCTTTTGTATTCTTACATGGTTAGAGAGAAAAGCACATTCCTTGTGCACCCTGGGATAAAAAGCGACCCTTTTAAAAGGACTAGCATTTCTTTTCTAGAAACCGTGTAATAAATTATTTTTGAGGACTGTACAGTCTATGTGCTGCTCTTTCCAGAGCAACTTTAGGGCCCTTCTGAGATTAACTGTTCTAAGGGATGTATAAATAGCTATGATTCAAATAGTGCCAGTAGGTTGACCTCAGCGGTGAAGAGGATGATAAAATTGCCATGTTAGGTGGCTTTCTTTCTAACATGAGACTTTTTTTTTCTTTTTGTAACTCCTTGTTGTAATTTAGATTGCATTTCTATGTTGTATATTATAGTTACATTCTGTGCGACAAGATGGTTTTCATGGCAGTATTAAAGACGTCCGTAATAAAATCAGAAAAGTTTTCCAACATGTCTTCTTTCTTTCCCCCCAAAAAAAGAGGAGAAAAAGAGAAGGAAGTATAAAAAAAAGAAAAAAAGTTTTAGAATTATACTGATTTTTTTTTAAAGGCGTTAATAAATTAGTGAAATGTCCAGTGTTTTCATTTGTAGCTTTCTGCAGGAAAATAATTCAAATGAGTTACTTTAAGTTTATTTATGAGACTTTATTTATTCTAATGGCAGAAAGTGAAGTGAAGAGGAACTAAAGAGCCTCTTGATGCGGGTGAAGAAGGAGAGTGCAAAAGTTGGCTTGAAACTCAACATTAAGAAAACCAAAATCATGGCCTCCGGCCCTCTCAATTCCTGGCAAATAGATGGGGAAGAAATGGAGGTAGTGACAGATTTTATTTTTCTGGGCTCAAAGATCACCTCAGATGGGGACTGCAGCCAAGAAATTAAAAGACGCTTGCTCCTGGGGAGGAAAGCTATGGCAAATCTAGACAACATTCTAAAAAGCAGAGACATCACCTGCCAACAAAAGTGCGTATAGTCCAGGCCATGGTTTTCCCAGTTGCAATGTATGGCTGTGAAAGTTGGACCATAAGAAAGGCTGAGCGCAAAAGAATTGAGGCCTTGAACTATGGTGCTGGAGAAGACTCCTGCGAGTCCCTTGGACTGCAAGGCGTTCAAACCGGTCAGTCCTAGAAGAGATCAACCCCGAATGCTCTTTAGAAGGCCAGATCCTGAAGTTGAAACTCAAATACTTTGGCCACCTAATGAGAAGGAAGGACTCACTGGAGAAGCGCCTAATGCTGGGAAAGATTGAGGGCAATAGAAGAAGGGGACGACAGAGAATGAGATGGCTGGATGGAGTCACTGAAGCAGTAGGTGTGGATTTAAATGGACTCCAGAAGATGGTAGAGGACAGGAAGACCTGGAGGAACATTGTCCATGGGGTCGCGACGGGTCGGACACGACTTCGCAATTAACAACAACAACAATTTATTTATGACACTTATATACCGCTTTAAGTGCAAGCACTCTCTAAGCGGTGTACACCAGTAAGCAATGTATATATATATATATATATATATATATTTTACATTGCCCCCAACAATCTGGGTCCTATCAAAAGTTGATATTTCTTCCCTGTCCATGCTCTGATCTGCTTCAGAAATTCATCTCTCTGAGGCTTAAATACAATAATAGCAGAAATAAAAGAAGCTACAAGGTTAATCAAATTAACCAATGATTCTCAGTGTCTATAAGCATGAGATATGCTGAAAATTAATCCTTTAGGTCAGTGGGTTCTCAACCTGTGGGTCGGGACCCCATTTGGGGTCGAACGACCATTTCACGGGGGTCGCCAAACAACGCAGTCCACCATTTTTTTTCCCCTTTTTCTTAGCTGTGCTACTCCCTTTTATTCTATTGGCTTTTGAAAGTCAATAGAATAGACTCTCTTGAATAGAGTCTAATTCTATTGGCTTTCAAAAGCCAATAGGAATTGTCCAGGCTGTCTCTGCCCTGCTGAGCCCGCCAAAAGTCCCATTCTGCAAACGGTGCTGCACCAGTTGAGTACTCCTCGACTTACGACCGGTTGGGGGTCGCGGCATTAAAAAGGTTGAGAACCACTGCTTTAGGTCTCTACTTGACTGAGTGGGTGTTAATACTGGCTGTTAAGAAGAAAGATACAATTTCAGCCAATTAGGTCAATAAAAGCTGGCATTTATTAGTTGAAATCCAAAGGTTAAACAACCACCTTTCACATCGTTTGAACTCTTAGCAGCAATTTCATAACCGATATGGCTACATGGGATACAACAGAATATTCCAACTGCAGAATTGGCATTCAAGCCAATTTGGAAGAGTTTAAATTAAAACTTTTGGAGAAACATTGGAAAAAAAAGTGTTCTTAATCGCCCGAGAAGCATAAGGAATTGCATTGAAATCATGTTTCCATAATTCACCCTTGGACGTTCCTAATTTCCCAGTTCACCCACAATTATGTGATCCTTTAGGGTGAGCAATTTTTCTACTTGGGTGAGTTATATTTATAGAAGTAGTCCTCGACTTACAACAGTTCAACCGTTCACACTTACAACCATTGAAGCAACCCCATGGGTCATGTGATCAAAATTCAGACACTTAGCAATTGATTCATATTTATGGCGGTTGCTGTATCCCAGGATCATGTGATCCCTTTTGCGACCTGACAAGCAAAGTCAATTGGGAAGCCAGATTCAGTTAATAACCAGGTTATTAAGTTAACAACTGCAGTGACTCACTTAACAACTGTGGGAAGAAAGGTTGTAAAATGGGGCAAAACTCACTTGACCACTGTCTCACTTAGCAACAGAAATCTGGGGCTCAACTGTGGTCGTAAACTGAGGACTACTCAGGGAAAACTCCATTAATACGTATTTATAGACATGCACAGCTAGACAGAATTACTAGAACAGGCGTTTTCAGACTTGGCCCTTTGATGACTTGTGGACTTCAACTCCCAGAATTCCTCAGCCAGCATGCCTGGCTGAGGAATTCTGGGAATTGAAGTCCACAAGTCATCAAAGGGCCAAGTTTGAAAATCCCTGTACTAGAACTTCAAATTCCTCATTGAAAATTGCAAAGGGTGAACTCTGGCCAGGATATGTATATCCTACGTATTTCCACCTCACTCCCCCAATTTGAAACCCATTCAAACTAAAACACTGCCACACTAAACTCTGCAACCAACCACATGAAAGGTAAACTGAGGAGAACAAGGTACGAAACCTCAGCTGGCCACACTATCAACACTTTTGACAGATGTTTGGTGCATTCTCTTCATTCTAAGCATTTGGATGCTTCTGATACAGCAGGGAGACGATACTTTTCTTCTCTGAGGTTCTCTGCTCAAAACACGGTAAACCTACAGGTTACACTTTGTGTCCCAGTTACAATATTATAAGGCAAGAATAGAAGCCTGTGTTTCTTCCAAAAAAAAATTGCTAAACATAATCAAACCTTCTGAGGAGTGGGTTCTGTCAGTCATCTCCTTTGCTAAAATTTCCTCCGCCCTCCAACAGCTTGGTTGATGTTGTGAGACATGTCCAACCTCACCCAGAGGTCACAGGTTCTGAATATACCCCCCATAAATCATGTAAAAGAGATGCTCTTGAGGAAAGTTAGAAACAATCATGTTTTGATCTTCAAAGAAAGAAAAAACAGTAGAGACATTTGCTTTTTAAGGTGCCTACAGTACATCGTACCTCTGTGTCCCACAAATTGAAAGGTACAGAATCCAACATTGATAGTTTAGATAAGCCAGCATCAAGCAGGGTGCGGTAGTGAGGAAAATGTCAGACCAAAGCTGGGAAGACCCAGGTTCGAGTCCAGCCTTAGCCCTGCAGCCTCTCATCCAGTTAATCCCTCTCAACCCAGCCTATCTGTGGTTGCAGTGGAGAAAAACTGGATGCGAAGGCTGTTATGGATGTTGCTTTGAATTCCTTGGGCAAAAGTGAGGTGTAAATCTAAGAAAGAAATAAAAGAAATCAACAGGGCCAAGAAAGATACAGCCCAGCCAAAACAAGGGGACAAAAGTCTTCCGTGGCTAGGATGAACTTCTCTTCAGCAGATATTTGAACACTCAGAAATGATCAGGTGGATACAGTACCTGTTCCAGGAACAACACCTTTCTCTCTGAGGTCTAGGGAGATTTTCCATCATCCAGGTCACGATTGTCCCAAAGGTGCTTTTCCAAAGGTGTAACTGGACTTTCTTGTTTTGTTTTGGGGTTTTGGGGGGGGGATAATGTTTCAATTCTCATCTGAGAAGCCTCTTCAGTTCAGTTCTCTCTGTGGTGCAACACACCAACTTGAGCAGTGGTGGGATTCAGATAGGTGAACAACCGGTTCTCTGTGTGGATGCCGCTTCCAGAAGTCCGTTCTGGGCCTAGGCAATGAAAAATTAGCTACCGGTTCTGCCGAAGTGGTACGAACCGGCTGAATCCCACCACTGAACCTGAGCCTCTTAAAAAACCACACCGGGGAGGAACTGTGATTCCAGAGATGGTGCTTCAAAAACCGATTGAGACAGGTTATGGGTCTCTTGCAGTCTTGGCATCTCCTGAAAAAGCGAGGCAGCTGCTTTAAAGACTCAGGTGACCTTGGATGGGTTTGTTAAAGCTACGATGTCTTCTTTTATGGAACTGTTTTTAGGGCATGGCTTTCAAAGGAGAATAATGTTCTTCTGGATAGCCTGCGCTATTCATTCTATCTAATGCAGCAGTTCTCAACCTGGGGGTCGTGACCCTTTGGGGATCGAACGACCCTTTCACAAGGGTCGCCTAAGACAATTGGAAAACACATATTTCCGATGGTCTTAGGAACCGAGACACCGCTCCTCTATCCGTCTCCACACGGCTTTGAGCTGGGGGCCGTTGCAGCGCCGGCTTTGTTTCCGTCGAGCATCTCCTAAGGGAGGCTGCGCTGCTTTGTGGCCCTTTCTGCGGAGGAGGCTGAACTAAGCTCTGCCAGCGCTGTCGCCCTCTTGGCTCTCGCTCTCTCTCCCTCTCCCCGTCTGGGTGTTTCTCCAACCAGGCTGGGCAGAGCCGACGAAGCGGCCTTCCTGCCCCCCCTCCCTGGCCAGCTGGAGCCAGGCAGGTCAGCGACCTTCGCAAGTGAGACGAGGACAGGCGAGGTGCACTGAGCCCCGGGCACGGTGGGTGAGTGGGCGGCGTCGGTGCACACTTGGAGAGCCCTTAGGGTTGGGCATCACCACAACATGAGGAACTGTATTAAAGGGTCGTGGCATTAGGAAGGTTGAGAACCACTGATCTAATGAGACAGCCGAGGCTTCTATTCTTTTGTTCGTTTGTTTGTTTGTTTTCAAACAATCTTTCCTGAAGTGGCAACTTCCTCACACTCTTCCCACACCGCCACTGAATTCTACGAAAAGGCAGCACGAAGAGGAAGTGTTCCTTTCCGGGCTGCTTATGTTCCCTAGCAGCACAACTGGGCTGCCATCACTTCCCTAAGGAAAGCCCTGGTCTTCAGACACTCCTTGAGCATCTTTTAAACCCCTGAAGAAATTTGTGAAGTGGTATTTCAAAATACCCCATTCTAATTTTAACAATGCAACCAAAATTATTCAAAGGGCCAGCTTCTAACTGTTTAAACCGAGGAGGGTGTCCCTTAGACATCATTCCACAGAGAAATAATAATAACAACAATACCACAATGCCTATCCAGTAAAAAAAAAAAGGCAATACAAATAGTCCTCAACTTACAGCAGTTCATTTAGTGACTCTTCAAAGTTACAGTTGCATTTTAAAAAAGTGACTTGTGACCGTTTTTCACATTTACAACTGTTGCAGCATCCCCACGGTCACATGATCAAAATTCACATCTTGGCTACTGACTCACATTTATGACGGTCGCAGCATCCCGGGGTCAGGTGATCCTTTTTGTGCGACCTTCCGACATGCAAAGTCAATGGGGGAAGCCAGATTCACTTAACAACCAGGTTACTAACGTAACAATTGCAGTGATTCTTATAAAAACTGTGGCACAAAAAGTAGTAAAATAGGGCAAAACTCACTGAACTGTCTCTCTTAGCAACAGAAATGTTGGACTCGGTTGTGGTTGTAAGTTGAGGACTGCCTGTATCCCAAACTTTCACAGCAAATAAAGTAAAGATAAAGTTATAGACGAAGCTCATCAAATATACACAAAAAAAATGCCTTAAAATTATAGTCCAAAGCATAGCGAGTAAGGAGTGAGTCTCACCGAAACCCCTGCAAACTAATTCTGAATAAAAATGCACCAGATCGTTTTGTTCAAGCATTCAGAGGTAAAGAAAATGTGCTGGGGTTTTTTTTTTGGGGGGGGGGGTTGCATCTTTTGTGTGCCTGTGTTTGTCAGGGTTGAAGTGCAGTGCAATTTTAACAATGAGGAATTTGCAAGCCCTCCCTGAATTTCTGTGACGCACAAAGAAGAAGAAATCCTATATTCTGCAACTGTATGTCGCACATTGGGTAAATTTAATTATCTTCCTCCTATGAAAGATTAATAAATCTTCAGAACCTGGTATTGGGAGTCTGGGGTAATTATTCAGAATGCATACAGCTTCAGATCTGGTTTCATTCAAAGAAGGATTATTAATCAAACGTCTGCCATAAACCACAGAGAATGGCTTTTTTGTTTTTTCTTTTTTTAAAAAAAAAAACCCTCATTACAGTAGTCTCCCTTCGTTTTTTTCCAGTGCTTTATACTATACACACAGTTATATATTTTTAGAATTCATTATAACCATTTCAGAACCTATTAGAACTCATTAAAAATCCCAGTTCACCCATAACTTAATTATACGTTTATAAAACATACTGTTAAACTTTCATAGAATTTATCTCCCTGGTTTTATACTGATGGATATAGCCTTTATGTTGGAAATTCTGAAAACGTGAAGATTATATGACATCCTTGTGGCTGATTTTTGACATTGGGCATGGTCGAGAGAAGAAAGGAGGGCCATAGCAAGACCAAAATTCCCCTGTGGTCTTTCCAACTCTGGGCTACCATTCAGATGGTTCTCAGTTGCTGGAAAATAATTCTGCAACAACAAAAAAGCTCTTTTGGTCCATGAGTTACTCCTTCGTTCCTCCTCTATCCCCTTCACTGCTCTTATACCCAACTGCTGACTCTGTTCACCTTGAATATTTTTTCTGTTGCCACCTGCAGAAGGAAATAAGTGCAAGGAAGTAAGATTATATCAAAAAAAAAATTGAAGCCCAATTTGCATTGATTATTTCCCTTTCAATCTAGACAGGTGTGCACAGACCAAACATGATCCTTAAGCATCCAACTATTCAGGTGAACGCGGACATTAAGAAGAGCCAGGTCTAACCTTTGGTAGCCATAGGCCATCAGTGCTGTAAAAGGCAGCTAGTTCCTCATTACAGTCCCATTTTCCTACACCACCCTTGAAAAGAGTGTGCATAGGATTAAGGTGTAAGCGAAACAAACACAATCATGGGGGAAAGGACCTCCATAGGAAAGGGTTTGTGTAAAGCCAATGAGTTTGGGTGTAAGTGTGAGCAACATCAAGCTTCTGATAGTTCTTGTTAGGGAACAAGTCCCACTGAACACAGAGGGCTGTCTTTCTGGATAACCAAGTAGAGAATGACATTTTTTATCTTTAAGTGTGATCCACCTGCAACTGGAAGAGGCTGGTTCTACTGGTGAGAAACTAGATTCCCAGTCTTCAGCAAGACCCACACACATACACACACACACTGCTCTCTATGTCAAGCACACTTCTTTCCAAAGATGAGAAAGAAACTTTTTCAAAGATGCAGACTGGAACCATCCACAGTTCTTCTGTTTCAAGTATTAACTGAAGTTTCAACTTCAAGATGCAAACTCAACGTGGCAAGGTGGAATCTGGTCATGGAAACGTTCTAAGACGCAGGCAGTTTCATGTCGGCGACCGCCAGGAACTTGAGGGATAACAAGAAGCAGCATCGGCCATGCCAGAGCAATGCACAGGTAGGTCTCTACCTGGTGTCAGGTAGGACCTCTCTCTCCCAGGACAGGATGAAGCAACATCTGGAAAAAAGGTGAGAACTGAGAAGCAGGGAGGGCAAAAAACTGTCCATTTCTTAATTTCTTGCTACTGTATATTTAAGGAAACGCCATGCACATTTTCTGCCTCTGAGCCAACCCAACAGGCTACACCATCCATGGTTCCTCATTCCCTGAGTTGAACCAGCTGTAGGATGCCAAGGGCTGGCTTTGCTTTTGGCAACTGAGTCTCACAATAAGGCAGTGTCTCCTTTTTTCTTCTTCTTCCTTCTCTTTCTTTGTTGCTTTCTTTGTCCACCAGGGATCGCTCAACGTTTCTCACAGGAAGCCAGTTGACCCTCCAATGTAGGCCAGCACGAGTTGAAAAATTGGTCCCCTGCATATAGAAATTGGAGTCAATGGGCAAAGCTGAATCTTCATATATTTTGAGATCTGGAGGATTTCAGCTGGACAGATTCAAAGCGGTCCTCTTTTTCCTAGGTCAAAAAAGAAAGAAGTTTGAAGGTGGTCACTGATCCACCCAACAGAATTGAGCAAAACGCCCCTCCCTAACGTAGCATTCTCGCTAAGACCAAAAGAAGTGTGGTTCCAGCAAGACTACAAAATAGCAATAGCACTAGCAATAGCACTAGCTTTGCTGGCTGAGGAATTCTGGGAGTTGAAGTCCACAAGTCTTAAAGTTGCCAAGGTTGAGAACCCCTGACTTAGACTTATATACCACTTCTCGGTGCTTTAACAACCCTCTGTAAGCGGTTTACAGAGTCAGCCTGTTGCCCCCAACAATCTAGGTCTTCATTTTACCGACCTCGGAAGGATGGAAGGCCGAGTCAACTTTGGGCCGGTCAGGATTGAACTGCTGGCAGTAGGCAGAATTAGCCTGCAATACTCCATTCTAGCTACTGCGCCACCACGACTCTTAATAATAGGGAAAATATAACAAAATATAACATATATTATAGTTTATAACAAAATATGTAAAAATATAACAAAATAAAAGTCAAATCAAAAATGGAAATTTCACTTTTGACTTTTGATGACTGCGTAGACACAACTATGTAACTCTTTTAGCCATGACATGCAAATGGTTTGCAACTACCTTTGTCTGGAATGGTGTTTTTTTTTTTTAGTTTTCCAAGCTAGTCTACAGCCCTAGGATCCCCTGGTGGTCTCCTATCCAAGTAATAATCAGGCCTTCCCTTGTCTAGTTCTAAACCAAACCATTGAGAAATATATCAAGTCCATTCGAAGCATTTAGATAGACATTGGCTGCACTTGGGGACTGAATTATCTAATTTTATGAGTTCCCACAGAACACTTAATTGCAAAAATAAATAAATAAATCAGACAGATGGATACATATGACAAATGCACCAACCCACACAAATACAAAACCAAAATAAGCAGTCCCTCCTCTGGATACAGCTGCAAAGTCTCTCTGGATAAGCAGATGGTGTGAACCCAGCATTTAACTACCTGTAATGTTTGGACTGCTGCCAAATTACATGTGCATGCAATTATCCGTGTCTGTTCTCCAGACACAGGATGGTATGAGGTCCAAGTACAGCAAAATACAGTAGCACAAACGCAGCACTGGCTTGCAACTCATTAAAGCAGCTGTGTCTCTTCTCTGGATCGGGTACGCGTCGCAAGAGGGTTTCCGCTGCGGGCACATGATTCCAGAAAAGAGACATAGCTGCTTTAAGAAGTGATGGACGTGGGCGGCATTTGCCCTTTTTGATGTTCCCAATCAAGCCTAAAGCCCTGTACAAACCTAGAGGTTTTAAAGGTGGCAATGGCATTCGGCCCTCTCAATTCCTGGCAAATAGATGGGGAAGAAATGGAGGTAGTGACAGATTTTATCTACCTGGGCTCCAAGGTCACCACAGATGGGGACTGCCGCCAAGAAATTAAAAGACGCTTGCTCCTGGGGAGGAAAGCTATGGCAAATCTAGACAGCATACTAAAAAGCAGAGACGTCACCCTGCCAACAAAAGTGCGTTTAGTCAAGGCCATGGTTTTCCCAATTGCAATGTATGGCTGTGAAAGTTGGACCATAAGAAAGGCTGAGAGCCAAAGAATGGAGGCCTTTGAACTATGGTGCTGGAGAAGACTCCTGCGAGTCCCCTGGACTGCAAGGCGATCCAACCGGTCAGTCCTAGAGGAGATCAACCCCGACTGCTCTTTAGAAGGCCAGATCCTGAAGTTGAAACTCAAGTACTTTGGCCACCTAACGAGAAGGAAGGACTCCCTGGAGAAGAGCCTAATGCTGGGAAAGATGGAGGGCAAGAGAAGAAGGGGACGACAGAGAATGAGGTGGCTGGATGGAGTCACTGAAGCAGTAGGCGTGAGCTTAAATGGACTCCAGAAGATGGTAGAGGACAGGAAGTCCTGGAGGAACGTTGTCCATGGGGTCACGATGGGTCGGACACGACTTTGCAACTAACAACAACAACAACAATGGCAGCAACCTTCTTTTGAGGGTCTTCTTCTAGCTCTTGCTCCCTACCCATGAAGGCTAAAAAGCAATCCAAAATGATTTGCTTGCCCCGCTTCCGATGACCTCACCACATCATCAGATGGCCTTCTTCAGAAGATGCTCCAACTTGAAATAATAGAACTAAAAAGGCATTTCATTTGTTCAAATTAGGGAAAAATGATCCATGAAATCAGGAACCGAATTTGATTATCTAACCCAGTGGTTCTCAAGCTTTCTAATGCCGTGACCCCATAATACAGTTCCCCATGTTGTGGTGACCCCCAAGTGGGTGTGGCCACCAATAAGAGGGAGTAGGACAGCTAGGGAAAAGGGAAAAAAATGGTGGACAGCATGGGTTGGCGACCCCCGTGAAATAGTCGTTTGACCCCAAATGGGGTCCCGACCCACAGGTTGAGAACCACTGATCTAACCTCACATATAGCTGTGTGTGTGTGTGTGTGTGTGTGTGTGTGTGTGTGTGTGTGTATCTGTGTGTATCTGTGTGCGAGGACTGAGTTTCTTTTCTACCTATTACATTTTGTACCTAGTTTGCATACCTATCCCACACTGGGGGGGGGGGGAGAATGATCTTTCAAGCACCACTTTTTATTCGGCTCACTCAGCACTTGTTAAAAACGTTCCATTTTGAAGATGCTTATTGTCTCAATTTTAAATAGCTTTCTAAAGATTTTCTGGAAGCCACTTTGAAGTTTAGAGAGAGAAAGGGACATGACAGTTTTACGGGAACGAACTCCCTTGAGTTAAAAAGAGGAAAAAAAATAACCGATGCGCAAGAGGGGGGGGGAAAAAAACCACACGAAATGCAGACAAGATTTCCACATTAAGAAAAAATAATGATGAAATGGCATAGAGGATGCTCCTGATAAAGCTTGTGCTGTGCAATAACCAGTTTTATTTATGAAATATTCCCTACAGGCGGTCCTCAACTTACAACTAAAATCGGGACCAGAATTTCCAGTGCAAAGCAAGGCAATTGTTAAGTGGGCTGTGACCGATTTTATGACCTTTTTTGGTAAGTGGATAGCAAGAGCAATGACACTTGTATAGCGCTTTAGAGGGCTTTGCAGCCCTCTCTGAGGGATTTTACAGAGTCAGCCTATTGCCCCCCAACAATTTGGGTCCTCATTTTACCCACCTTGGAGGGATGGAAGACTTGAGTTAACCTTGAGCCGGTCAGGATCGGACTGCTGGCAGCGGGCAGAGTTTGCCTGCAATGCTGCATTCAAACCACTGTGCCACCATGATCAACGGGATGTCCTTTGAGGCAGCTGCTATGAGTACCTTAGAGCAGGGGTCCTCAAACGTGGCCACTTTAAGACTTGTGGACTTCAATTCCCAGGCTTCCCCAGCCAGCCATGCTGGCTGGGGAAGCCTGGGAATTGAAGTCCACAAGTCTTAAAGTGGCCACGTTTGAGGACCCCTGCCTTAGAGGATGTAGATGCTTTAATACTCTGGATACGGTATTTTGCTTTCAGCAATGAGCGTGAGGAAATGCTTTTCCTTTGTTGTATGGGCCCCAGACAGTTGGCTTGCATAAATATTTTCATCTCATTGACGTCCACCTTTTTCTAAACAGCAATAGCACTAAGACTTATATACCGCTTCACAGTGCTTTACAGCCCTCTCTAAGCGGTTTTACAGAGTCAGCATATCGCCCCCAACAACCTGGGTCCTCGTTTTACGACCTCAGAAGGAGGGAAGGCTGAGTCAACCTTGAGCTGGTCAGGATCAAACTGCTGGCAGCGGGCAGAGTTTGCCTGCAATGCTGCGTTCAAACCACTGCGCCACCCAGGCTCTGCAGTGGTTAAGTAAATCAGGGTCATTAAGCAAATCCTGCTTTCCCTATTGACTTTGCTTGTTGGAAGCTGATTGGGAAGGTCACGACGGGGATCACGTGACCCAAGAATGCTGGAACCATCATAAATAAATGCCAGTGGCCAAATACCTGAATTTGATGCAGAATTATGCAGAATGATGGTTGTAAGCGCCAGGACCAGTCATAAAACACATTTTTCTGTGCTATTGTAACTTCAAACAGTCACTAAAAGAGTGGTAATAAGCAGATGATAGCTGTTTGGCACAATTAGTCAGTGGAACAGCTCACCTCCAGCAATTGTGGGTGCCCCATCACTGGAGACTTTTAAGAAGAGACTGGACAGCCACTTGTCAGAAATGATATAGGGCAGTGGTGGCAAACCTATGGCACAGGTGCCAGAGGTGGCACGCGGAGCCCCCTCTGTGGGCACACGTGCCGTTGCCCCAGCCTTGCTTCCCCCCACGACCCCCTCCTCTCCAGCACGCCCCCTGAAGGAGAGACACCCCTGAGCGTGGCCCACGCAGAGCAGCGCAGCCAAGGACATGGCAGCCAGGCAGCATAGACAAGACTCTGCCCTCACATCCCATCATGCACAGTTGACAGCGCAGGGCGCAGGCAGAGGGCGTGACCGCCATAAGCGCTACTGGGCTGCCTGGGCGATCTGTGGCGGGCCCTGGAGGCAGTGAATGGCCCTGCGGGCAAGTGGGGTGGGACAGGGGGGTTGAGTGGGAGCGGGGCAGGGGGTGGAGCGGGGGCGGGGCCAGTTTTTGGGCACTCGGTCTCTAAAAGGTTCGCCATCACTGATATAGGGGGTGGGACTAGAAGACCTCCAAGGTCCCATCCAATTCTGTTATTCGGCTATTCTTTTTTCCTCCCTTCTTCCTTCCCTCCCTCCTTTCTCCATCACTGGAGGCTTTTAAGAAGAGATTGGACAGCCACTTGTCAGAAATGATATAGGGGGTTGGACTAGAAAACCTCCAAGGTCCCCTCCAATTCTGTTATTCTGTTATTCTGCTATTCTTTCTTTTCTTTTTCTTTCTTTCTTTCTTTCTTTCTTTCTTTCTTTCCTCCCTCCTTCCCTTCCTCCCTCCTTTCTCCATCACTGGAGCTTTTAAGAAGAGACTGGATAGCCCCTTGTCTGAAATGGTATAGGGTCTCCTGCTTGAGCAGGGGGCTGGACTAGAGGACCTCCAAGGTCCCTTCCAACCCTGTTATTCTGTTGACCTTCCTTCCTTCCTTCCTTCCTTCCTTCCTTCCTTCCTTCCTTCCTTCCTTCCTCCCTCCCTCCCTCCCTCCCTCCTTCCTTTCTCCATCGCTGGAGGCTTTTAAGAAGAGACTGGATAGCCCCTTGTCTGAAACGGTATAGGGTCTCCTGCTTGAGCAGGGGGCTGGACTAGAGGACCTCCAAAGTCCCTTCCAGCTCTATGATGTGTTATTTCCCTCTAGATTATTCTGCTGTGAGACTTCAGAGGACCAGATACAACTGCGGTCAGAAATTGCTTCTCGTGGTTCCCATGCTTACCTTCGTGGCCAGTGATTTGAGTTTTCCTAACAACGACTGCTTATTCGAATACACTATTTCCTCTTCGTTGTCTTCTCCTTCCATGATCGCGCAGCTATCGGCAGCCGGAAGCTCGCACTCTTTTGAATTGGCCGTCATTACCAGTTTCGAATATTTATACTCCAATCTGCGGAAACCAATATACAGACAGAAGCCATGTTGGCGCTAAACTGACAACTTTGATTAAAGAAAAAAAAAATACAGTGACTTTTTTGTTTCGACTGGGAAGCCCCTTCCGGACTGTGCTTGCGGTGGGAAAAAAAATAAATAAATGTTGATTTTGGGTTTTTTACCGATTAGATAGGCTTGGGTTTTTTTATAGAAACGGCTAGTTTATATTACGATGTCAAAGTAAAAAGTTGAGGTTTGATGTTATTATCTTATTCTGCTGCACCAAAAGGAGTTGGAAGTCAACGCCTTTTTTTTTCTTTTCCTGCTTTTCTCCTATGCTTTTCCCTTCCCTTCTCCCTCCCATATTCTCCCACTGTTGTCTTTTGTCTTTTATACTGTAAACTAATAAAAAAAGAAGAAGCAACGTTGTCAACTCACACAGACTATAACTGGGGGTATTAATCAGTGAGATAAGAAAAGATTCTTCCGGTAGATATTTAATACAATTAAGCAGAGCTTTCCCTCCCCCAAATTCAGAAACAATGCAAACATAAGTTGCATATCAAAAGTACGAAAGACTTTTGGGGTGTTTTTCAGAAGCCACTCCTCCCTCTCCTGCATAAGTTATGATGCAAGTTGACAAGAGTCCTGCAGTTTGGCTCCTTAGCAAGGTAAGGTGCCAAACTAATAGTGGGGAATCAGGAATGGGGAGGTGGGCCAATGGAACTCTCCACCAATGGGAGGACGGACTGTCTCTCAGAGAGGCAGGGAGCAAAGTAATGATGTGCACACTGATGATGTTACCTAGTTCGGTGATGAAACGTCTGCAAGAAAACCAGCAAGCTCAGAGAGCACCGAGGACCTCAAAGTAATTATAAAATTACACTGTTGTGAGGCTACAGCAATGGGTGAGATCTAATCAACGTGGCATCCCACTTTACTCCCTTGTTGATTTGGCTATGATTTCTTCTTAATGAGAATTTAAAAAAAAAAAAAAAGGTGGATTCCTTCCTGGGATGGTTAATTTGGGGGAAAGGATAAACAGAGTCACTCCAGAAACTCTGTCAGCTGAGATTTAGAAAGTCAAAAAAAGACGGTACCCTAAGCTGAATTTAACTCTGCAAAATCAGCCAATCAATTAGATTTTTCCTTAAAAGGACATAGAGGACTCACTTCTGATTTTTCTTCCAGAAATAGCAAGTTAAGGCAATGAGCAGGACTCCTGTGAAGGCACCAACCCCTGCACCGACTTTCAGCCAGAAATCCAGCGTTTCACAGATTATAATCTTTTTTTCAGGCAAGGAAACCCCTTTTATACATAACTTTGGTTCATTCCAGACATATAAGGTTTCCTAAGCATGAGAGAGAGAGAGAGAGAATGAATGAATGAATGAATGAATGAGTGAGTGAATGAATGAATGAGTTAAACAATCAACCAATCAATAATCAATCAATTTTATACATTTGATTTTTCCTAGAAGACAATTCTACTCAGTTCTACGGAGTTACATTTACAGTAAGCAATGACACATTAAGTCAATTCCAGGCAAGCTAAGGAGAAGTAAGAAATAATGCATGTATATACAAGTAGATATGTTTTTTTATTTAAATAGTTTAATATTAAATTGAAACATCCTAGGAGCCTAAGGATCTAATCAACCATCATCTATGATTTCTACTGAGGACAAATAATTCCACTGTAAGTAGTCAGGATAGGAAGGCAACTAGTATTGTTTTTTACCCCTTTCTCTCTTCCTTGTTGTAAAGCACATTTAGTTGACTCCTCTCTGTTATGTTTCTAAGCAAGACCTCATATTCAAGATATTTCTTCTATCTGCATACTGCTGAAGATATCTTTTTGTTTAAGAAGTACTTTCCTGTCTGGGCCATACGATTCTTAGCATCTTCTGTAAAAATCTTTGCAAATAACAAGGACTAGGTCAGGGGTAGGCAACCTTGGCTCTTTTATGACTCATGGACTTCAACTCCCAGAATTCCTGAGCCAGCCATGCTGAGGGGAAAGGGAGAGTTTCCAAGCTGAACTGTGCTGGCTCAGGAATTCTGGGAGTTGAAGTCCACGAGTCATAAAAGAGCCAAGGTTGCCTACCCCTGGACTAGGTCTTCCATTTATGAGATTCTCAGTCATCCAGGTCATGGTTGTCCCAAAAGTGCTTTTTCAAAAGGCAACTGGACTTCCTTTGTGTGTTTTTTTCCTTGAAGACACTTTGCTTCTCATCCAAGAAGCTTCTTCAGTTCTGGAGAAGTTCTTTAGTTCTCCAGAACTGAAGAAGTTTCTTAGATGAGAAGCAAACATATGCAAGGGAAAAAAATAAAGAAAAATCCAGTTGTCTTTTGAAAAAGCTGCTTTGGGACAACCATGACCTAGATCAGTGTTTCTCAACCTTGATAATTTTAAGGCATGTGGACTTCAACTCCCAGAATTCCACAGCCAGCATTGCTGGCTGTGGAATTCTGGGAGTTGAAGTCCACATGCCTTAAAATTGTCAAGGTTGAGAAACACTGACCTAGATGAATGAGAACTTCCATAGACAGAAGACCTAGTCCTTTTTATTTGGGACTAGATCTTCCATTCAAACAATACTTTTCACCATCTATGTATTATTTTATATCCTGTGGACATCTTAATATATGGCCACATTTAAGAGGGTTGGCAAATTTCTCACCCTTTCTTTTGAATACAAGATCTCCAACAGCATTCATCCACACCCATTTTTATCCCCAAAGAACAGATCTAGTGCCTTACGTAAAACCAGCCGGTGATCAACTAGGGGTTTGTAAACAACTCTCTTCAACAACTGGCATATGTTTTCTTTGTTTGTGTTTCTCATTTAAAATGATTTTAAGTCTTAGTATATTCTCATGTTTCGAAGTATCTTATGTTTCAGCTCTGCTCATGGGCGAAAAAAAAATGAAGACCCGAGGTCACCGGTGGTACATTTAGGATTCCTCGCGCCCTAACCAAATTTGTAACAGAATTAGAATGTTTGATAAGATAGAAAGTATAGTGTCCAACTACACAACCTGTGTTGATTCTGCCACCAAAGACGTAACCAGTTAATTACCTGGTGCCCCTTTTTACAAGCACCTTCGATCTCGTGATAGTCCTGCTCGGTACACATGGGACAAGCTTCTGCGCTTTCCCACAAGAAGTGGAATATACACCCATCACAGGTCCCTGCAGGACAAGAACTGGAGGAGAAATACTGGCTGGGTTAGAGGGATGCATTCAAAAAGGGAGAAAATTGTTAACTTAATTGATTCTCAAAGAGGCTTCTACCAGGTCACACCATCAGTGCATGTCCTGCAAAAAAACACACCCATTGCCAAGTTGCCCATTAACAACGTTCTGAAAATGCAGAACAATGGTCTGTTGCTAAATTCATCTCCTACATCCAAGATAAATATATTATGAGCACTCTGCTTCTTTAATGGGCTGTATCTTAGTTACTCAGTGATGCTTTCGGGCATCCTCCAACTAGGGATCCTGCTGGAGTCTAATCTCTAACACATGGTCTTCTCCTCCTCTTCTGATTCTGAGTTAGCAGCATGCACACATCTGGAGCCGAGGTGGCGCAGCAGTTAGAGTGCAGTACTGCAAGCCACTTTAGCTGACTGTGTTCAGCAGGTCAGCGGTTCAAATCTCACCGGCTCAAGGTTGACTCAGCCTTCCATCCTTCCGCGGTAGGTAAAATGAGGACCCAGATTGTTGGGGGCAATGTAAATATATATATATACATTGCTTACTGGTGTACACCGCTTAGAGAGTGCTTGCACTTAAAGCGGTATATAAGTCTAATAAATAAATAAATAAAATAAATAAATAAAATCCAGGGGCTGTTCTTTTGCAAGCATCAATCTACACACTTTATAGTTTAGGTTGCAGATGGTTAAGAGTTTAGGCTGGTGCAATTATATAAAGGAAAGGAGTCCAATCTAAACTACAAGGTCAAATTCGGCAGAGCCTGTCTAGGAGAAAAAAATAAACAAAAAAGTCTATGGAGTAAGAGTGAAATATGTTAGGAAGACATATATGAGCAAGATATTCTAGACCAGAAGTTTTTAAGATGGTCTTCAGGGATTCCTTTCTGTGGATAGATTTCAAAGCAGGAGTCTTCAGACTTGGCCCTTTTATGACTTGTCGACTTCAACTCTCAGAATTCCTTGGCCAGCATGCCCAGCTGAGGAAATCTAGGAGTTGAAGTCCACAAGTCATAAAAGGGCCAAGTTTGAAGACCCCTGCATTATGTGATGCCACAAGGTAGAAGAGCAGGTTGGGGACAAAGCATAGCTGGCTGGGGAATACTGGAAGTTGAAGTCCACACCTCTTAAAATGGCTGAGGTTGAGAAACACCAGTTTAGCTTTTTCTGAGTTAGCATTATTTCCCCTTCACATTATGTCAGGGGTCTTCAAACTTGGCCCTTTTATGACTTGCGGACTTCAACTCCCAGAATTCCTCAGCCAGCGTGGCATGCTGGCTGAGAAATTCGGGGAATTGAAGTCCACAAGTCATAAAAGGGCCAGGTTTGAAGACCCGTGGACTAGAATTTCCATTGCTAAGGGAGGCATCACAGGATAGTGAAGGTGCTGGAACAGCCGGAATGCCAAAGATTGGCTGTAACTACCATTCATTCAGCACTGTCACTGAACGAACGGCCGTAGGTAAAAGGACTACTTGTGTTGAATGTAGGCCACAAAGTAATTGACGCATGGCTCCAAAAATGTTGGTTAACTTGAATAAATCTCACTGTCTAATATTATTGGAATTATTTTTTAATATTTTGATAACCGGGAGTTAGACGTTTCCTTTGGGCATTTTATTTTATGCAACGAAATACGTTCTCTCCGAGTAGAAGCCCACGGATTTTTGCCAGATTTTTCAGAAGGATCCAAAATGGCACAAAATGGTGGAAAAAGCCTGCTCAGAAGGCTCTCCAGATTTCATTTAAATGGAAGGTGAAAGCAAACATAAAAGGTGGGCTCTTCCAATAACATTCTGAAAGAGTTGCACGCGAATCTGAAAGATATTAAATTATTCTGAAAAGATGGAGATCTGTTGAGCTTCTCATCGTAACACACACCTGGGAACTGAAATGCCTCCCTGGCCAAGTTTTGTGGGGTTGCACCTCATTGTCACAACAGACACACGGCCATTTTCACAAGTGGCTGAAACTCCTGAAGACCTGGACAGAAATGAGAGAAAAAAAAATTCCAGATGTTATTTAGAGAGATGCAGATCTCTCTGCCTCCTGCACTGGAAAACCAGATGTTTTCGTAGCTTCATTTTTTTGTGTGTGTGGGGGGGGAATCTTCTCCCATTCTTGTCTCAGCTGCAAATTAAGCTTCGGCTGGACGCTTTATGAAGTTATTGCCAGTTTTTATCATATATATTAGCAGCTCCGAGACTTGGCAATAAAATAAAGATATTCTTGAGTCAAGCTCTACCCTGGTGACTTCATGAATACATCCAAGCTGTTTTATTGGCAACAGTATGGAGATTTATTGCCATTGCATTCTTTCAGATTATGATTGACTGTGATTGTGATTGTGATTGTTACTGTGATTGTGATTATGATTAGTAGTAGTAGTATGGGGATTTTATGCCATTGCATTTTTTTCAGATTATTATTATTATTATTGTAAAGTAAGATAAGGTAAAGTAAGGTGAGGTGAGATGAGATGAGATGAGATGAGAAGGCAAGATAAGGCAAGATAAGGTAAGGTAAGGTAAGGTGAGGTGAGGTGAGGTGAGATAAGGTATGGTAAGGTATGGTGAGGTGAGATAAGGTGAGGTAAGGTGAGGTGAGATAAGGTATGGTGAGGTGAGGTAAGGTAAAGTGAGGTAAGATAAGGTAAGGTATGGTGAGGTAAGGTGAGGTGAGGTGAGGTGAGGTGAGATGAGATGAGATGAGATAAGATAAGATATAAGATAACCTTTATTATCATTTTTTTTACTGTGGGCACAGCAGCACACATCAAAAAATGAAATGTAGTTGCCCGCTTTCAAAGTGAAACACATACATGACGCACACCTAAACATATTTCCAGTCTAGCCATTAAGGGACTAACCAGATCTAACCCTGCTTTAACTTCCAAGTTATTTGAGACTCGGCAACACAGATGAATACATATTTAATGATAAATATTTCTGAAAACTTGGGAGTAAGATGATGGGAGAAGGCTGAAGAGGGTAATTCCTTCAGTCTAATATTCCCCTATTTATCCATTACAGGGAGACTTTGACTTACCACCAAAATTTAAACCAGAATTCCTATTGCTAAGCAAGACAGTAGTTAAGCAAATCACATGGTCATTAAGAGAATCTGGCTTGTTGACTTCCAGAATGAGGGGGTCCTTGGTGCTCTCTAATCCTGGCTGTTTTCTTTCAGATGTTTCATTACCTAAACTAGGTAACATCCTCAGTGCTGCATAATGTTACCTAGTTGGTTCACGAAACATTGGCAAGAAAACCACGTTCAGAGAGCATCAAGGAGCCACAGTCCTCCTCCTCTTCCTCCTCTACTCCACAAACTCCTCCCCTTCTAGCACTGATGAGGTTACCTAGTTGGGTCATGAAACATCTGCAAGCAATTAACCAAGCACAGAGAGCACCAAGGAGCCCACAGTTTAACCCTGAGCTGCAAATATTCTCCTTTATCATGTCCCAGAATATTCAGCTAAAGCATATGTCGGCAACCTTCGGCTCCAGAGCCGCATGTGGCTCTTTGAGCGTTCCCCTGCGGCTCCCAGCCTCCGCTGCCATTTGCAGAGAGAGACAGAGAGAGGCACTTACGCTTCCCCTCCCCTCTCTCCCTCCCCCTCCCCCTCCCTCCCTCTCTCTCTCTCTCTCTCTCTCTCTCTCTCTCTCTCTCTCTCTCTGTATGTAAAAGAGAATGGACTCACGGTGTTCTCCCATGAGCTGAAAAGCTTACTGGGTGGGGCTCCTCCATTTACTGCGTCTCTGCAGGAAGCAGGAAGCAGGAAGGGCAGGAGAGAGCTAGCTAGCCCAGCTATGCTGACTCAGGAATTCTGGGAGTTGAAGTCCATGAGTCGTAAAAGAGTCGAGGTTGCCTACCCCTGAGCTTGTTGGAGAACAGCTTGAAGCCAGCTTGCCAGGTGAGCAGAAGATCGGACAGAGGGACAGAGAGGAAAGAGAGAGAGGGAGAGGAGAAAGAGATACAGAGACAGAGAGACCCTTTTGACACACACACACATATGTGTGTCACACACACATATGTGTGTGTGTGTGTATGTTTTCATAGATTTTCACGGGTATAGGTATGTAGGTCTTCGTGCAAGTGGGACCTCGTCGAAACGTCGCCAAGATACTCTCAATCTTACATGGGGAAAGACCTGAATACACCAAGACCAGCATATATAGATAGATAGATAGATAGATAGATAGATAGATAGATAGATAGATAGATAGATATAGATATAGATATAGATATAGATATAGATATAGATATAGATATATTTGTTTTTGTAGATTTTCATGGGTAAAGGTATGCAGGTCTTGGCATGTTCAGGTCTTTTCCCGTGTAAGATTGAGAGTATCTTGGCGACGTTTCGACGAGGTCCCACTTGTCATCTTCAGACTGGGGTCTTTGGCTTCGTGTTTGTGCGAGCAAAGTGTGATCAGAGCTGCCGTCTCTCTATAAATATTGGAGGGGGTGTGTGGAGTGCTGGCTTAGTTGCTGTAGGGGGGGTTGGTTGGCTGTGTTGGAATTATTGTTTGTGGATTGTTCGGCTGTTTTGTAACATCCTGAGTAGTTGAGGTGCTGGCTGTGTGCCTATTAGTCTTTTGTGTTGTAACGACCTGGGTAATGGGCTGTGTGGGGACCTTGTCGAAACGTCGCCAAGATACTCTCAATCTTACACAGGAAAAGATCCGAACACGCCCTGCATATATATATGGCTGAAGAGAGTTAAAGGAACTCGAAATAGCTATACCATTCTCTCTTTATTCGCAACCTAAAAATGTAAAATGATGTCGCAGTTGGCGACTGCTGCTTGTGGATGGCTCTAGATTGAGCTGATACAGGCAAAAGAAAAGAAAGAAGATTTCTTTCTCCCATATTTGGGCTGACAGGGTGTTCATTCAAGGTAAAAATCTCCTCCCCCTGTCTCTCTCCTGACACAGCTGACAAAGTGAGGAGAGCCTGTGGCTTAGAGGTTATAACAACTGCCTAACATGCAGATAGCCCAGGTTCGAATCTCAGAAGAGTAAGTTTGGCTGAAGAGAGTTAAAGGTGAGAAACGGGTCCAAGTGGCTCCCTGAGTGTTTTGGGTTGCCTACCCCTGAGCTAGAGCAACAGCCTGGGTAAGGAGCAGAACGTCTTTCAGTTGTGCCATGAGAGACTGTATTTCCCCAATCATTTTGCAGAAATTCAGAATGTAGCCATGGGAAGAGCAAGAATAAAATTGGTTGACCGGGAAGAACAACTGAATCCTATAGAAAAAGTACAAACAGAATGTAGCAAGGGGGGGGGGGAGGAAGCGTGATATTAGAGGAGTGTTATAACATCCAAATCAAAATAAATTATGGTGTCTTCTGGCTGTTTAATTTGGTCCTCAATGACAAGGTAAGCTTTTCCTGAATTTTTGCTTTCCCTCTGCAAAGGAGTACAAAGAATTGAGCAATTTGCTCTCCTACTCACTTGTAATAGAAATGAACATCGGGTAGCTTTGTTTTAGACTGCTCAAACACTTCTGGCTTAATGTTAACATTTCCTAGTGTAGTTTCAACAGTTGCTCCTGCAAAGAAGAAAAGAAAAGAACATTTCTGAAAGAATTTGTAGGTGATTGGGAGGAAAACTATATATCCCACAAAATGTCACCAGGCAGATTTGACTGGCTACAATGCAATTGGTCTAAGCCAAACTGATATATTTTCTGGTTTCTTATAAAAAAACAACAACAACCAAGACTGTGTGGAAGAATTAAATGTATGCGCACATTTAGACTAGCCTGGAAATTGAAAAAACATCCCAGAAAAAAGTGGAGACAAACTACCTGTATATCCTTGTCAAGAAAAGGGACATGAATATAAATCACCAAGAAAGAAATTCAACTCAGTTAAGGCTCTGAGCGATATTTTTGTGAACAAGTCGTAGATTTTTGACTCAAAGTAATGGAGACGCTTATGACTGTTACTCAGTTAAATCCATTAAGCTCTGAAGCTTCCCTGCATGAATCTGGAATGATACCCCCTTGAGCCATGGAGGCATATGGATAAAGGATGCTTTCTTTTAAAAGTAATTTGGAGTCTAATTTGTTAGCAATTAAGTACAGAAAACTAAAAAAAAAATCACCCCCAAATCTTAAAAGATGGTTTTTCTTCTATCAATAAGCACAGTTTTCTTATACATATATTAAAATTGCAAGTTGTTAGACTTCCTCCAGGTCATTAGTGCCCCTGAACTGAGAATGGATGATGATGTGACCACTGATTTTAAGTACTAACACAGTAATCCATTGAAACCAGTTGGTCGATCAAACAGAGATATTATTTGTAGATACTCCTGTATAAAAAAAAATATCAGTTAACAGGAGACTATTCTCATTTTCCAAAAGATAGTATTACCAAAACTGCTATCCAGCATGTTATCTTGGGATATCTCCAGACTTGAGGAACATCTCAAGAGCTTGAGGAACATCTCAAGAACTTGAAGCTCCAACCTGGAAGTCTACTCTGCAGGTAATATTAAATCTCAATCATATGTCTTGGATCTACTGTGGGGGCCATGAGGAATGGGGAAGCAGGATTTGATCCTAGAGTGAGAATCTGAGATAAGGCTTCCAGATCCAAGAAATGCAATCCACCTACTCTCAAATGTTTATTTATTTTCTGTATGTATTTATAATTCAAGGCAAACGAGGTCCAGGCAGAAGAAGAACATTGTGGCTTCAAAATCTAAGGGACTGGTTTGGACAAAACTCAGCAGCACTTTTTCTTGTGGCTGCTGATAAAAACAGGATTGTCAACATGATTGCCAACGTCCAATAACGGACATGGCACAAGAAGAAGAAGAAGTATTTATAACTATTAACTGTATTCTTTTGAGGGAAAAATGGAATGGAAAGATTGAGATGAATACCACAAATCAATCTCAATTTCTGCTGATTATATAGACAGTAATTTTCTTGGCAATAACAAGCAGATGATCTACCATTGCCCTCCTCCAGTAGTGAAATTTAGCTCACATTCTGGGATTTCTTAATAGTCTCCCTTTCAAATATTAGGAAATTTGATAGTTTAGCTCCTTCTAAGATCATTATACCCATATGTAAGTCAAGGAGGGCTTTGCTCCCTCTTGATCCTGACAGAAAACATCTGTCACCATGCCATAGCTCCTATGTTAGTCAAAGTTGATGTCCTGAAGTCAAGTTCTATCAGAACTAACTTTGAGGGGTCCTTGGGGCTCTCTGAGCTTGGTTGTTTTCTTGCAGAAGTTTCATTACCAACCTAGGTAACATTATCAGTGCTAGCAGGAAGCAGGGTTTGGTCTCATTTAATATTCTAGTGGAGGTTTTATAATCTAGTTTATATTCTATTCTAAAATGAGAGGAAACCCTACTCCCTACTAGTACTGGTGATGTTACCTAGTTGGGTCATGAAACATCTGCAAGAAAACAACCCAGCTCAGAGAGCACCAAGGACCCCAGTCCTCCTCCCCCTCCTCCTCCTCCTCCTCCCCCCTCCCTCCCTCCCTCCTAGCACTGATGAGGTTACCTACATGAAACTTCTGCAAGAAAACAACCCAGCTCAGAGAGTACCAAGGACCCCAGTCCTTTTCCTCCTCCTCCTCCTCCTCCTCCTCCTCCTCCTCCTCCTCCTCCTCCTCCTCCTCCTCCTCCTCCTCCTCCTCCTCCCACCCTCACATCCTCCCTCCCTCCTAGCACTGATGAGGTTACCTACATGAAACATCTGCAAGAAAACTGCCAAGCGCAGAGAGCACCAAGAACCCCACAATTAAACCCTGAACTACAAATATTCTCCTCTCTCAATGCCCTCCTTGATAGAGGATACAGACATTCCCCCCCATACATGTCTTTAGACTTGCAGAAATTGCCCATCACAAATCGTCACATTTCTACAAATCCCAGTTCTGTTGGGTGAGGTCGGTGACATCATACTTCCTTCTGTCTCAGCTGCTTTATTGCTGTTCATTTGTGCATCGCAACAAGCCAAAGATTACCAAGGAACACGTCGGCCAGGCTGTTAGACTGAAGGGCCAAAGCAGCGCGGAAGCCTTTGCTGTCCGGTGGGATGATGGTCGACTGGCAGACAAACGCCCTCACGACATTGGAATAGTCTTCTGACTCGGACACCATATCCTTCAGGGTGATATCCGTTATATTGTCCGCACAAATGGCTCTCTTTTCTCCCTGGGGAAGTTAAAATGGGGAAAAAAACAGGATTTGTCTGTTTCTCTCTCTCTCTCTCTCTCTCTCTCTCTCTGCGTGTGTGTGTGTGTGTGTGTGTGTGTGTGTGTGTGTGTGTGTGTGTGTCTTCCATGGCAAACTTCTTCACATATGTCAAACCAGAGTCAGATCCTTCTACAATTTCATGCTAACTCGCTGACAAATTCAGGAAGCCATCTGCAAAAATGGAGCTGGGCAGCTGTGAAGGGGACATTGTGATTCTCTCGAAGAGAACGAAAAAGCGAGAGAGATGGGAGGGGGGAGAGAGGAAAAGAAAAGAGGGAGGGAGGGAGGGAGGGAGGGAGGAAGGAAAGAAAGAAAGAAAGAAAGAAAGAAAGAAAGAAAGAAAGAAAGAAAGAAAGAAAGAAAGAAAGAAAGAAAGAAAGACAGGAAGGAAGGAAGGAAGGAAGGAAGGAAGGAAGGAAGGAAGGAAGGAAGGAAGGAAGGAAGGAAGGAAGGAAGGAAGGGGAAGGGAAGGGAAGGGAAGGAAAGGGAAGGAAGGAAGGAAGGAAGGAAGGAAGGAAGGAAGGAAGGAAGAAAGAAAGAAAGAAAGAAAGAAAGAAAGAAAGGAGGAGGGAGGGGAGGGAGGGGGAAGGAAGGGAAAAGGAAGAAAAGAAAAAGAAAGGGAAAGCAAGGGGAAGGAAGGAAGAAAGAAAGGAAAAAGAAAGAAAGGGAAGGAAGGAAGGAAGGAAGGAAGGAAGGAAAGAAAGAAAGAAAGAAAGAAAGAAAGAAAGAAAGAAAGAAAGAAAGAAAGAAAGAAAGAAAAAAGAAAGAAAGAGAAAGCAAGCAAGCAAGCAAGCAAGGAATCATGTTGTTTTCTTGCACGGCACAATGAGGTGTAATTTGGCATTTAGATAATGATACGGCCACTTAACAGTGATTTAGAAGAACGAGAAAAGAATAGAAACAGCAACTTTAACAAATAGCAACAGAAAAACGCTTGGTGTACTTCAGTATGGAACATCCACAGTGTGTATCTGCACGCCAGTTATAAACCGTACGAGACTTGCAGATAAATGGATGTATCCTTCCTATTGCACAAATAATGCCAGGTTTTGTATAATTTTTAAATATGTGGGAGTGGCCTGCCACTGTGCAACAACTGCAGCAAAACAAAACGGGGTATTATGGTATATTCCTCCAATTTGATTTTCACACTGAAAATGATGAGTGGTTCCAGCTGTTCTCCAAGAACACTTTGCACCAATATTCACTTTTTTTTTTCTTTTCAAATGTGATTTGATGCTGTTGCTTCCTTAACTAGTTTGGTGCCATGTTTCCATCAAGTGCCTCTACAGTGGGCGCTGATGGGCTACTTTTCAGAATATCATTGAGCATCAAAAAATAATTTAAAGAAATGAAAGTAGTCAAACCCTCAAGAGACCTCATCTGAGAATATAGATATTGTGCACTATTTCTTAATAGATTCTGGCCGTATTAGTTTTTTCCCAAATAACTAGAAGGCAGTGGGTGCCATCTAGTGCAATAAACGATCACAAAGTGAATAAAAATAGCAGGAGAGAGCTATAAAATTTCCGATATTGCCATGGGATGGTGCAAATGGGACCAATCAAACAGGAAACAATGCTTCTAGATCAGTTTTATGATCGATCTCAGATAATAAAAGAAATCGTTTTGTGAATGGAATGTCCCCCTTATGGACCACAGCAGATCTTGTTCAATCTGAATGTCTTCCAGAAAAGGGGCCATATTTTCAACATCATCAACAATATTTGCAAAGATTTTGTTATGCGATGACAATCTCAAAACTCTAATTAAAAATGGCTACATACAATGTAGCCATTCTTTTCTCAGGTTTCAAGACAACAAAGATGCAGCTGTTTTAATAGCCATATTAATGATGTGGCTACTTTAATGAATTGACAGTGAGACGAATAGATCAGGAAAAAGAAAGAAAGAAAGAAAGAAAGAAAGAAAGAAAGAAAGAAAGAAAGAAAGGGAAAGAAAGAGGGAGGGAGGGAGAGAAGGAAGGAAGAATGAAGGAAGGAAGGAAAGAAAGAAAAAGAAAGAAAGAAAGAGAGGGAGGGAGGGAGGGAGAGAAGGAAGGAAGGAAGGAAGATGATAATAGATATGTAGATGGTTAATGAGGGAGAGATGATAGATGGATAGAAGGAAGGAAGGAAGGAAGGAAGGAAGGAAGGAAGGAAGGAAGGAAGGAAGGAAGGAAGGAAGGAAGGAAGGAAAACCAGAACCACCGTATGGTAGCAGAGAATTAGATTTGTCTGTAATTGTCTGGTTTTTGCATCCCAAATCTACCTGGATCTGATAGCATACACCTTATTAACAGGATCAAGAATCAATTAGTCATATCATTGCCATTCTCCAATCAACTGCAAATACCAATAAGATGACAAATTTTATTTATGTATCTGTTTTTTTGGATTTATAGGGCCACCCAAATTGCATGACCATGATTCCAGGCACTGGGTATTAAATGAATGGCACGGTAGGAAACAAACCAAAATCAACATAACAACAGCATTCAGGTGGCATCCTTCAAACCCACGTTCCACCTTCCCAAAATGGCTTATCTGTTATTCAGGTTCAACTGCCAAGGGGAAAACTAGGGTTTTTAAACATTTTTTTAACATTTTTTAGCATTTCTCCTAAATGCTAAAAGGGTCAGGCCTGTTGAATTAACAGAGGGGAGATCATTACAAAAGGCAGACACCACAACAGAGAAGGCACACCTCCTAGGTCTGACCAGACAAAATTGCCTCCTATTTGGCATGCAAGAGATACAGTAGCTCTGATCTTAAAAAGGCAGACACTTACTTGGGATCCACACAGGCTGATATTGAAGAAATGGAAGAATTTTGTGCCTCTTGCTGTAAAGCTTGGTCCATTCATTAATGAGCCCACTCTGCTCAAACGACTAAAATCGTAAATCAGACTTTGATTGTTCCTGACATGGGAGAACATGCAGTCATTATAGCAGGCAGAACGGTCCTGAGAAAAGAACACAACATAGAAGTAAGCAGCTGTAGGGAAGATAAAGGAAATCAAGTTGCAAAAACTAAGCTTTGGAGGAAACAAACCACACAAATAATCATTACCATGGGGTAGATCAGAAAAGAGATGGCCAACAGCTTCAGAGACATTCATAAGCTATAACGTCTAGCCTTCCTTCCTTCTCAGTCATCGTGCTCAGGCTGGGTCTACTGGGAAATGTAGTTCAGTAATATCTGAAAGTTCTGTATCTTGATGTTGACCAAAAAAGGGACCACTATCATTTCCATGTCCTTTGCAGTAAGACAATCAATCAAGCAGAATAGAGCTGGAATGGACCTTGGAGGTCTTCTAGTCCAATGGTGGTGAACCTATTTATTTATTTATTTATTTATGAGACTTATATATCGCTTTAAGTGCAAGCACTCTCTAAGCGGTGTACACCAGTAAGCAATGTATATATATATTTTCATTGCCCCCAACAATCTGGGTCCTCATTTTACCTACCCCGGAAGGATGGAAGGCTGAGTCAACCTTGAGCCGGTGAGATTTGAACCGCTGACCTGCTGAACACAGTCAGCTAAAGTGGCCTGCAGTACTGCACTCTAACTGCTGCGCCACCTCGGCACTATGGCACGGGTGCCAGAGGCAGCACTCAGAGCCCTCTCTGTGGGCACGCGCACCGTCACCCCAGTCCTAGGCCTTCAGCTAGGTTTTATAAAACCTTTTTGCTTTAGGCCTCCGCCGCCGTGTGCAAATAAAAAAAAAAGGTTCAATCAATCAGTCAATTTCAACTTCTCGCAGGGAAAAAAAAGATCTTGCAAAATTGGAATTGATTGATTAAACTTGTTAGTCCCATCCAGTCTGCCGTTACCACTGCAGCCACGCCCACCCAATGGGCCACACCCAGCCAATGGGCCACACCCACCCAGCACCTGACTATGCATAAGTGGGTTTTGGGTTGCAGTTTGGGCACTCAGTCTCTAAAAGGTTCGCCATCACTGTTCTAGTCCAACCCCTTGCTCAAGCAGGAGACCCTATACCATTTCAGACAAGTGGCTGCCCAGTCTCTTCTTAAAAACCTCGAGTGATGGAGCATCCACAACTTCTGGTGGCAAGTCGTTCCACTGGTTAATTGTCAGGAAGTTTCTCCTTAATTCCAGGTTGCTTCTCTCCTTGATTAGTTTCCATCCCTTGTTTCTTGTCCTGCCTTCTGGTGCTTTGGAAAATAAATCGACCCTCTCTTCTTTCTAGTAGCCTCTTAGATACTGGAACACTGCTATCATGTCACCCCTATTTCTTTTTATCATCATTATTAAACTAGACATACCCAATTCCTGCAACCGTTCTTCATATCTTTTAGTCTCCAGGCCTTTAATCATTTAAGAGGGACGAATGAGTTCTTGAAAGCTTCTGGCATGACCAGGTAAAGCTTCCACAAGAAAAGAAAAAGATAGTAGCTCACCTCTAGTCTCTGGAAAAGTGTCCTGGTTTATCTGCCTGCTATCATTTACCACGGCTTAACTCAAGCTGTCTGCCACAGCCGCCCAAAAAGCCAACACATTCCTAGGGATGGTATCAAGGTCATGGGAAGTGATAATGTCACTCTATATTGCAGTGGTGGCAACCCTATGGCACGTGTGCCAGAGGCGGCACTCAGAGCTCTCTCTGTGGGCACATGCGCCGCCGCTGCCAGCAGCGTGCGCAGGTCCATTAGACCACCACCTCCGCCCAGAGCAGCAGCCCCACCCAGCACAAAGGAGGCAAAGCAACCAGCTAGCAAGCTCGAGTAGAGGTGGTAGAGCAGGCCCACACCCAGCAAGCCCAAGGCCACCTGGAGCAGGGAAAGCCAGATCCCCATCGGCGCCATGTCCCCCCAGTCCCAGCTAGGATTGTGTGCCTTCCCCCATCTATGCTGGGCCTCCTGCCCACAACCCCACTTGCCAGAGACCCCCTGGATCTCCCCCAACCTGCCCGGCCCCCACAGGCGTCCCCATGAGCAAAATCAAGGTGGCCATGCCCACCCCAGCCACGCCCCCCCCAGTCTGCAGTGACAACCACAGCCATGCCCATCCAGTGGGCCATGCCCCCATGCCCCCCCTGAAGGCACCGTGATGCTGATGTGGCCCTGGCACTTTGCGATAAATAAGTGGGTTTTGGATTGTGGTTTGTGGTTTGGGCACTTGGTCTCTAAAAGGTTCACCCTCACTGCTATATTGCATTAAGGAGGCCACACTTGGAATATTGCATCCAGTTCTCATGACCATGACACACAAAAAAAGATGCTGCGATTCTATAAAAGAGTGTAGAGAAAAGCAACAAAGAGGATAAGGGTCTAAAGACTAAATTGTATGAGGAACGGCTAAGGGAACTAGTATGTTTAGAGAATGCTCAGAGAGACTTTGTGATGGACAAGAATTGGACACATCCTGGTCTAGACAAGCCACTGATCTAATCCTTTGTAGTCTTGTTTATTTCCAAAGCCCAATGTTTTTGATGCTGAGTGCAAAAGAATGCAGGCCTTTGAACTCTGGTGCTGGAGAAGACTCCTGAGAGTCCCCTGGACTGCAAGGTGATCCAACTGGTCAGTCCCAGAGGAGATCAATCCTGACTGCTCTTTAGAAGGCCAGATCCTGAAGTTGAAACTCAAGTACTTTGGCCACCTAATGAGAAGGAAGGACTCCCTGGAGAAGAGCCTAATGCTGGGAAAGATTGGGGGCAATAGAAGAAGGGGACGACAGAGAATGAGGTGGCTGGATGGAGTCGGTGAAGCAGTAGGCATGAGCTTAAATGGACTCCAGAAGATGGTAGAGGAAGGCCTGGAAGAACGTTGTCCATCGGGTCGCGATGGGTCAGACACGACTTTGCAAGTAACAACAACAACAAAGAGATATTCCATTCAATAAACATGTTTTTAATGACCATTTCATTCATTCAGATAAATCTGGATGTGACTTCTTGACTAATTTATGTTTGTGTCTAAGTTCATTCATACCTGATACTTCCATGGCTTAGATACACATGTAAAACATGTCCAACTGGGAACTGGCTGGGTAAACAATTGCTATTGTAATTTAGTTCTTCTTGAGATGATTCTGTGAAGAATTCAAAATGTGACATCCAGTATATAGGATGAAGGGGGATTTTTCAGAATAGCACTAGCAATAGCACTTAGACTTATATAGCACTTCACAGTGCTTTATAGCCCCCTCTAAGGGGTTCACAGAGTGAGCCTATTGCCCTCAACAGTCTGGGTCCTCATTTTACCGACCTCAGAAGGATGGAAGACTGAGTCAACCTTGAGCTGATGAGAATCGAACTGCCAAACTGCTGGCAGCTGGCGGTCAGCAGAAGTAGCCTGCAATACCTCATTCTAACCACTGCACCACCATAGCTCAATATTGAAATCCGACTCTGTTATATTTCATATTTTCATATATTTCATATTACATATTACATAAAAACACTAATTGTTTACCTCGGGGTGGGCAGACACGACTTCGCAACTAACAACAACAACAACTTTACCTTGGTGCTTTGGCTCCCAGGCCCACAAGGGACACAGGCTTCCTCTCCATAGGCTTGATGGATAGAGAGATATGTATTGGGAGGACACTCTTGGCACTGGTTGGTTTCCTTCTCTATGTAGTGCCCAACGGGGCATGGGATGCAGGAGGAGCCGGACGGTTCTAGACCAATTGCACAGGCCCGGCAGGAGGAAGCCACTCCGTCAACCGCATTGCTCACAGTGATCGAGTAGATCTTGGCCACGTCGTTGATCAGTTTCCTGTTCTGAAAGAAACAGTCCCCCCAAAAAGAACAAAGTGGCTACCACTAGGATCCATTAAATACATCACTTTTCTATCTTGTCTATTGTCATCATTAACATCATCATCATCATCTAAGAAATGCTACACTCAGATAAATAAAGAGCCACTCGCAAACACCCCTACTTCAGTAATTACCAATAGAAGAGTAATATTTGTAGCTCGCGGTTGCACTGTGGGGTCCTGGGTGCTCTCTGAGCTTGGTGGTTTTCTTGCAGATGTTTCATTACCCAACTAGGTAACATCATCCGTGTTAGAAGGGAGTGGGGTTTGCAGCATGGAGAATGGAGGAGGAGGAGGAAGAGGACAACTATGAGGTCCTTGGTGCTCTCTGAGGGGAGGAGGAGGAGGAGGAGCAGGAGCTGGAGGAGGACTATGAAATCCTTGTGCTTGGCTGTTTTCTTGAGATATTTCATGACCCAATTAGGTAACATCATCAGTATTAGAAGAGAGCGGGATTTGCGGAATGGGGGAGAAGGAAGAAGGGAGGAGGAGGAAGAAGACAACTATGGGATCCTTGGTGCTGGAGGAGGAGGAGGAGGAAAACTATGGAGTCCTTGGTGCTCTCTGAGCTTGGTGGTTTTCTTGTAGATGTTTCATTACCCAACTAAGTAACATCCTCAGTGCTAGAAGGGAGTAGGATTTGCAGAGTGGGGGAGGAGGAGAAGGGGAGGAGGAGGAAGATGACAACTATGGGGTCCTTGGTGCTCTAGGAGGAAGAGGAGGAGGAAGAGGAGGAAGAGGAGGAGGAAGAGAAGGAGAACTGTGGGGTCCTTGGTGCTCTCTGAGCTTGGTGGTTTCCCTGCAGACATTTCATTACCCAACCAGGTAACATCATCAGCGCTAGAAGGGAGTGCAAGAAAACAACCAAACAGACAGCACTAAGGACCCCACTTTAGCAATTCCATTCCATTCTCTAACCCAGGGCAATTGGATGATCTCTGAAATTCAGGAGAAGTATTTTCCACTTCTGCTTTGAAGGGAAACATCACATTGTTCTTTCTCGCTCAAATCTAGCAATATTGCTGAAGAAAGAAAACAATGATGTCTTCTCGAGACAAGCAGGCAATCCTTTTTTGGCCAAAGGCCAGGCTGAAATGTGAATAACCTATTGTGGGGACTTATTTATCTATTGGTCCAAAAAGAACTGGACCGATGAGCAGCTATAAAACATCAGAACCAAAGCAATGAATGGTTTTTCCATTCTCTGTTGAGTCCTGGAATGAGCTCAGCCGCCTTCGAGGCAGATAAGAAAGTGGATAGGGGCCCCCCATATATTCTGGTGAATTAAGATGATTCTTCAGAGTGGCACTGCGATTTCCATTTTATCAGCTTCTCATTAAAAAAAAAAAACCAAAGTCTAATAAAAGTCAGATACAAATGGGATCCTTGGCAGAAACCAAGGGGGGAAAAAAACTCATCAGTAGGATGTGACTTGCTCTTGCTTTAAGCCTTATTATTATTATTATTATTATTATTATTATTATTATTATTATTATTATTATTATTATTATTATTTAATAGTACTATATTAGTACTATTAGTAATATAATAGTAATATAATAATAATAGTACCAATAGTGATAGGCTCCTTGGGTGCAATCCCAAAACAACTGGAGCACCACTTGAACACCATTGGCATTGACAAATTCGCTATTAGTCAATTGCAAAAGATGGCCTAACTAGGAACTGCTTCCATCCTGCGACGATATCTGTAATACCATCAAACATCCACATCTGCCTATCCCAGGTCCTGGGTAAGGACTCGATAGGTAGACAAAATGCCAAATTCAGTCTGAACATCTGGCTGACTGTGCGATGATCCATAATAATAATAATAATAATAATAATAATAATAATAATAATAATAATAATAATAATAATAATAATCTTGAACAAATGTGCCACATTTACTATCAAACAAGGAAAAATAATAAAAACTGAAGGAATCAAGATGCCCCACGAAAATAACATTAAGAGTCTGGATGAGGAAGAATACTACAAATACTTGGGTATCCTTCAAGCTGACAACATCAAGCACACTGAAGTCAAGAAAAAGATTAGAGGTGAATACATCAAGAGAGTGAAGAAGATCTTAAAATCCAAACTCAATGGAGGAAATACCATAAAGGCAATCAACACCTGGGCAATCCCAGTCATTAGGTACACAGCTGGAATAGTGGACTGGACTCAAGCAGAACTAAAAGCAATGGATAGGCAGACCAGAAAAATAATGACAATGAATCATGCCCTTCATCTACGCAGTGACATTGATAGACTTTATCTACCAAGGCAAATAGGTGGGCGTGGAATGCTACAAGTACATCAGATGGTTGAAGAAGAAAAAATGGCTTTGGAAGAATATCTGAAGAACAATGATGAAGATGCACTGAAATTAGTATATCAGGAAGGCTTACTTAACTACTGGAGAGACCAAACTGGCCTACAAGAAAGACCAAATGAAGAACAGAATAGAGGCATGGGAAGACAAAGCACTACATGGCCAATACATTAAAAAAATAGCTGGGAAAGCAGATAATAACAAGACCTGGCAATGGCTAAGAGCAGGAAAATTGAAGAAAGAGACCGAGGGACTAATTCTGGCTGCACAAGACCAAGCCTTAAGGACAAATGCATATAAAGTCAAAATTGAGAAGACAGCAACAGACAGTAAGTGCCGCCTATGCAAAGAAGCTGAAGAAACAGTGGACCACTTGGTAAGCTGTTGCAAGAAGATTGCACAGACTGGCTACAAGCAGCGGCATGACAAAGTAGCAACAATGGTGCATTGGAAGATCTGCAAAAAATATCATTTGCCTGTAAGCAAAAACTGGTGGGATCATAAAATAGAGAAAGTCATAGAAAATGATAAAATTAAACTGCTCTGGGACTTCAGAATTCAAACAGACAAGCACCTGCAACATAACACCCCAGACTTAACAATTGTCGATAAGAAAGACAAAAAAGTCTGGATAGTGGACGTGGCAGTGCCTGGAGACAGCAGAATAGACGAGAAAGAACTGGAGAAGATAACAAAATACAAAGACCTACAAATAGAAATAGAAAGACTGTGGCAAAAGCAAGCAAGGGTAGTACCAATAGTCATAGACTCCTTGGGTGCAATCCCAAAACAACTGGAGCACCACTTGAACACATTGGCATTGACAAATTCGCTATTAGTCAGTTGCAAAAGGCGGCCTTATTAGGAACTGCTTCCATCCTGCGACGATATCTGTAATACCATCAAACATCCACATCTGCCTATCCCAGGTCCTGGGTAAGGACTCGATAGGTAGACAAAATGCCAAATCCAGTCTGAACATCTGGCTGACTGTGCGATGATCGATAATAATAATAATAATAATGTTGGAAGGGACCTTGGAGGTCATCTAGTCCAACCCCCTGCTCAGGCGGGAAACCCTATACCATTTCAGACAAATGGCTGTCCAGTCTCTTCTTAAAAACTTCCAGTGTTGGAGAATTCACCGCTTCTGGAGGCAGGTGGTTCCACTGGTTAATTGTCCTCACTGTCAGGAAGTTTCTCCTTAGCTCTAGGTTGCTTCTCTCCTTGATTAGTTTCCATCCGTTGCTTCTTGTCCTGTCTTCAGGCGCTTTGGAGAATAGCTTGACTCCCTCTTCTTTGTGGCAGCCCCTGAGATATTGGAGCACTGCTATCATGTCCCCCCTCGTCCTTCTCTTCATTAAACTAGACACACCCAATTCCAGCAACTGTTCTTTATGTTTTAGCCTCCAGTCCCCTAATCATCTTTGTTGCTCTTCTCTGCACTCTTCAAGTCAAACTTTTTTGATATGATATTTCTTCTAGAATATTTTTCAACTGTCCAGGCCTAGTCCACAATCCTGGATTTTCTAGATTATCTCCTTGACAAACCTGACTTGACTTTTTATCTGCCCAGTTTATCAAAACCAACCTTATTTTTTTAAAAAAAAAAACCTGTAGCTCAGGATTTCTAGTTTGTTTTGGAGTCATATTTTGAAACATCCTGACTGTGCACAAAGGATGAATTATTCTACAAGAAATGGGAAAGAGTGTCTAGGAGACACTCAGCCCACATATTTATTCTTTAGCCACTTACACTTTAAGTATATTTAAATTACGGTGAATTTCAGCAGCACTTTTCAAAATATTAAAATACAGCTGGCATCACTTAACCTTCAGCAAAGCTTAGGCCAAGAGATTATTGTGCGAATGGCAACATTCAAATATAATAAGTACAATATATTTATAAGCAATGAAGCTCCCTGAACTGATTGCTTGAACTCGCACAGCTTGGCAAGGAGAGCAGCTAATAAGATTTCAGCTACCTGGATTGTAACTGTCAAAATGCTCGCAGATCAAATTTTCTCAGGAAAAGGGATATTGCCAATAGAACTGCAGGTTACTGTATCCCACACAAGTCTTGTGAAGTGAAATGACTGCAGAAACCTGGCGATTGCAACTCAAAGAAGAGTTGTATAGTTTGTTTTGAACAAGCCACCAATTCTTTTTGCAAGTAGCAGAGTAACACCAGGAGTAACTGCAGGGAAGAGGATTGACATGGTTATAGCTGTGACTGAGCATTCAAAGTGAGTAATAAGGGGACAGACTTTGACTGTAACTCCATGGCTGCCATCTTAACATTTTACTCTATGCCTTGCAGATTCCCCTATGTAACACTATTACAAGTGGTTCCCCCTTAACGATCACTTATTCAATAACTGTATGTTCGAACCTTGTTGTTGTTGTTAGTTGCGAAGTTGCGTCCGACTCATCGTGACCCCATGGACAATGTTCCTCCAGGCCTTCCTGTCCTCTACCATCTTCTGGAATCCATTTAAGCTCACGCCTACTGCTTCAGTGACTCCATCCAGCCACCTCATTCTCTGTTGTCCCATTCTTCTATTGTCCTCCATCTTTCTCAGCATCAGGCTCTTCTCCAGGGAGTCCTTCCTTCTCATTAGGTGGCCAAAGTATTTGAGTTTCAACTTTAGGATCTGGCCTTTGAAAGAGCAGTCGGGATTGATCTCCTGTAGGACTGACCGGTTTGATCGCCTTGCAGTCCAGGGGACTCGCAGGAGTCTTCTCCAGCACCATAGTTCAAAGGCCTCAATTCTTTTGCGCTCAGCCTTTCTTATGGTCCAGCTTTCACAGCCATACATTGCAACTGGGAAAACCATGTTCAAATCTACAACGGTGCCAAATGACTGGCACTTACAACTGGTCCTCCAAGTTCCCATGGTCACATGACTGCGATACACACACACACACACACCACTTAGCAATGGAAATCCCAGTCCAGCTTGCCATCGTTAACCCAGGACTACTTATAATTGTACCACTCCAGCTACTTAGGGATGAGATTTTGCTAACTCTTTGAAAACTGTAAACAAAAGTTAGTTTCATAGCTTTTTTTTAAAAAAAAAAAGTATTTTCACTGAAATGATTGTAAGACTTACATCTTGGCCTTGATTGGTTCTTTGGAAAGCCCAGGTGAACGTAAAGGAAGCGTTCTTGGAAATGATATGAGCATACGACTGCTTGCCCTTAGCTCCACTCCATGACTCCACCACGTTTGTGCTCTTCTTATTGATGTCCTGAAAACCATTCAACAAAAGACATTAAGAAAGCACATGTTAGGCACCAGAATTGAGGTTGTTAGATAATGTTGACAGGACTGAGTCAAATGGAAGACTCTGCCTGTTCCATGGAAAAGAAACCTTTACTCAAATCTTCTGTCACGCGTAGGAAAATCAGGAAATCCAGACAATTCAAATGAATATAAAGGTTTATTGCAAGCTTAAGCTTTCTACAGGAATCTGAACTACTAATGGTCAAGGGAAATTAGCAGGAGATATGAGTTAACGGAACTCAAGGCAGCCTGGACTTAAGATCGCTTATGGGCACGAAGGTATTTGAGACTGATGACACACTTGACCCCTCCCCCCCTCTCAGCCTGGTCATCTCCTACATCTTCTTTCCTCTGTAAGATAATATATATAATGGTCTGCATTCACAGAACATACTTAACTGGCTTACTAAATTAACCAGGTTTATTACCCTTCTGGGGTTATGGTGAAAGTAATCAAACAGGTTCACTCAATCACACAGACACACACACACACACACACACACACACAAGTTAATAAGAATATTCTCACCAAGCATATTGTACAAAAAGCATTTAAGTTGCTTGTGAAACTTTATCCTTTGGAAAGCTATGAGAAACAAGTGTATTGGCACATGAAGCTGCTAAATCTATTACATATTCAGTCACCTCAAGTTATTTAAATCTTGAGATGTTTTCTCTATAAACTAGAAAAAACTGAGGTGTGGCAATTAGGTAGTTCAAGACAGCCATGTTAGTAGAAAAATTGAAGCACTGATACTCCAGAAGCGAAGAACATCACAAATATAAACTTCACCATGCAATAAAACAAGCCAAGTCTTCCATGGTGGAAACTGATGGCCCACTTTCTCCTTGGACTTCACTGCCCACCGGTTAAGATTAATGAAGGCCAAACCCAGGCAAATTGCAGATATGAGGACTTCAACTTTCAGAATTTCCCAGCCAGAAGGTTCCTTGCTGAGGACTCTGGGAGTTGAAGATGGCAAGGATGAGAAGCAATAGAATAGCTCTAATGAGGAATATAATTCTGTTTGCAGGATGGTGATTGGGCTCAATCACAATATCACTTCAACCACTCTACATTAATAAATTTGAATACCAGTAATTTCTCTTTTAAGAAGGGCTGTCAAAGTTACTTATCTAGGACTGACGGCTGAGGTCAGAAATGGTGAAGTTCTCTCTTCTGCTACTCCAAAAGGTTCCTATTCAGGAATAAGAAGCACTTGGAGAAATGCCACCCACAGCTGACCTCAGTGGATCCTCACTTACCACCATGAAGTAGAGCACGCAGTCTGCAGAACAGATGGTCTCAAACACAAAAGTGATCCGTCCAAGTTCTGAGCCCATCGCTCCCGTGACTGACGTGGGAGGCCTGTTCAACGGAGCAGAAGAGAAGGAGTAACCAGATGCTCCAAGTCAATCTCATTTCAAAACAACTTGCAATTTGATTTCAAAGAAACGAAAACCTGTCTCGCTGTTCGCGACATCGCTCTTCCAAAACTCAATAACGGACTTCTTGTTAAGAAAAAAAACGTTGAGCATCCTCAGCCTCGTGCAGGCTATTATTGTTCCATTTTGACAGGTTTCATCTTAGAGTGCACTCAAGGATTGGAGCATAAACCCCTTCCTATACCCAACAGAAATTATACTGTTCCTTACTTAAATCCTGGTATGTGGAGGTTGACAATGAGATAATCGTTGTCTGTGCTTCCTGCCCCACTCTGGATGTGGTCACCAGCAACTTCCCAGCCTGAAAAAGGAAAATCCCATCTAAAGGTAAATCGTACGTAATTTTGAATATGTAAAGAAATCGAGAAATGGCAAAAAATTTCGGCTTATCTGAAAGACCATTCACAAGAGAGATATAATTCTGTGTGGAAAAGATGGGTAAATTTTGCACAGAATAAATATAGGATTAGAAAGTATTATTTAGCTTTTGAATAATTTATAGTTTAATGTGGTTATGGTTGGATTTTGTTGTTTCTATGTATTGGAGTTAAAGTACTTTTAATTTTTTGGATGTATGTATAGTTGATTGATGTTCATTTAATTTGTATGGGGTTTTTTTTTTTGTTTTTTTGTTTTTTTAACCCTGTATTCAGCTCTGGGAAGGAGGGGGGAGGGTTAAGGGGGTGGGAGGGGGGGAGGTATTTTATTGTAAAAAGTTTATAAAATTTTCAATAAAAAAAAAACTAAAAAGGAAAAAAGAAATCGAGATCCAGCACCTTCCCTAAATTCAATCACTTTCGTTTACACAAACACACACACACACACACACACACACACAGACATCCCTTGCCCGTAGGTACAGAAACTACAGATTGCCATGGTAGCCTTCAATGAACATTGACAAATGGTTATGAAGAGGAATCGCTGATCGTGCAAGTGACCCCATTTGCGAGAGGTCCAAGCAGAGGCCATCTCTAAGCTTCTGGTCACCAAAAGGGTCCATAGAAGACAACTTGAAGATGCAGTGAGCCACCAGAATGGGTGTAGTCAGCTTGTGAGAACTGTTGCTGATTTTTAAGAAAAGAAATGGGACCTTGAAGACTCCGAGAAGAATAGCAGACCCGTTTCTCCACCTTAAAAACAATGGCTGCATCTTAGATGTAATGTTCTCCTCTGCCAGGGACTACTACGTCCCTTAGAAGAAATGCCACATCAGCATTGCGGTTGCCCTCGGGGGGGCTGGGGGTATGTGGCCAGGATGGGGGCGTGGATGGAGTGGGTGTGGCCTACTGGGGGGCATGGCCAGCTCTACATCGCGCCAAGGTGCCTGTGGGGGCCTAGGCAGGAGTGGACAGATCTGAGGGTCTCTGGCAGAAGGGGGTGGGACCAGGCCAAGGCATGGTCCATTTCCTCATTCCTCACAAAGGGTGACACTTCCCCAACATGCACCCAGGGGGTGGGGCCGACACGGCAGGGGCTGGTTCCTCGCTGTTTCCAAACCGCCTTGTGGAGCTAAGACTGAATGTGTTTCAGTATAGATGGCCACCACAAAATTGTACATTGGCTCCTGGCCAGCCTGGGCCAAGGCAGTGGGGGCCGTTCCCTCATTGTTTCCAGGATGGCTTCGCGGGCCACATGAAACCACTTTGCGGGCTGCATCCAGCCCCCGGGCCTTGTGTTTGACATGTCTGTCCTAATCACATAGCTGAACCTTGGGGTGAAGGTTAAAGCTCAGGAGAAAACCATTTCCAATCTATGAGAACAGCTAAATAGTATCTCCTGTTAAGACAAAAGCACAGGCCAAGTTCTGAACGTGGTGTGCAACACCATGCTTAGTTTGATCCTTGCTCACCCATCATTTCTTACGGGATCTGAAGAAACAATACGGTAGAGATGGGAAACGTAATGAAAAAGACCAGCTCACCATTCATCCCATCACATTTTGAATTCCCCACGTTGAAGCAGGAAGTCTTCATGTTGAGAGGCAGAATGTTCCACCACTTATATTCCAATCCAAGCACTGGTTCAGTTCCAGCAGGACAGGCCTTGCAATCTAAAGTAGGAGATAAGAATTAAGATGGATTTTTTTAAAAAAAAAAAAAACACCCTTGATTTTTAATTAGACACCATAAAAATCTAATTTGTATACACTTGGGTGCAAAGATCTCCCTAGAGAGATAATCAAAAATTTCCAAGAAGTCAAAAAGCTCTGTCCTTTTTCACACGAGCCACACAGATCACATGGTTATGGGGGCATCTTGACACAGACCTTCATGGATGATCCTGCTTGGGTTATTCAGGCCAGCTACCTTTCAGTTACCACAGCACTATTCTTCATCCCAGAAAGCATGATGTTTCCCTTGTATGAAGACCTTGTAAGTACCACAACTGCAGTGGCTAAATGACATGGAAGCCAAACTCTGAACTGTCTGGGCATTACTTGAAAAATCAAGAACTGTGGGGTCCTTAGAGCTCTCTGAGCTTGGTGGTGATCTTGCAGACGTTTCATGACTCAAACCAAAATAGACACAGTGGATCAGAAACCACCCTATGTTATTCTGCCTTAGATGATCTAAAGCAGTGGTTCTCAACCTTTTTAATGCCGTGACCCCCAACCGGTCGTAAGTCGAGGACTACTCAACTGGTCGTAAGTCGAGGACTACTCAACTGGTGCAGCACCGTTTGCAGAATGGGACTTTGGGCGGGCTCAGCAGGGCAGAGACAGCCTGGACAATTCCTATTGGCTTTTGAAAGCCAATAGAATTAGACTCTATTCAAGAGAGTCTATTCTATTGGCTTTCAAAAGCCAATAGAATAAAAGGGAGTAGCACAGCTAAGGAAAAGGGGAAAAAATGGCGGACTGCGTTGTTTGGCAACCCTCGTGAAATGGTCGTTCGACCCCAAATGGGGTCCCGACCCACAGGTTGAGAACCACTGATCTAAAGGAAGTTGACTCTAAAGCCTCCAGTGGTTAAGTGAAGAAAGACACTTAAGAAGGACCCACCCCATTGAATCAATCACTTAAAAGTGGCAGCAAGAAGCTGGTATCTTCAGACTTGCAAGATTCTGTTAATGGAGCTTTACAATAAAGTCGACTTAGTTCATCTAGTCTAGTTTCCTGTCTGTTTTGCCTGATTAAAAGATTTTCCTGTTTTTAAGAGATACAAAATCTTTCCTTCATACATATTTTTATTAATTTTTTATAGTCACAAGAACTTAATATTTTATCAGCAACATATTGTCTGGGTTCCAACATTTAACTTACTAATACATGTTAAGTTCCTTTCTTTCTACCTCGTTTTTCTAGCCACTGATAAAAGTTATCCCATGTTCTAATCTAAAGTATACTGAATCTTCTTTCTCTTTCATTTTCAATGTCAATCTATCCATTTCTGCACAATCTAAAAAAATTTTTAATTAATTCTTCCTCCGTTGGTAAATCTTCATTTTTCCAATGTTGACCGAATACAATTCTGCTGCAGTTAATACATGTAATATTAGATATATACTCTCTTTCTCATAGTTTCCTACAATTATGCCTAACAAAAATAATTCTGGCTTAAAATCTATATGTTTTTTAGTCACTTTCTCTAACCATATGTGTATTCTTGACCAGAATCTTTTGGTTTGGGGGCATGTCCACCAAAGATGGTAATAAGTGCCTGGTTTAAGAGATACAAAACCTTTCAAGATCCATGTTGTATATCACAGTTTTGCGTTCATAGAAATGAGGACGCGTGGGTACCATCAAGAAAACTGCAAACAAAAGCGAAGGCTTCTATTGCTAATCCAGAGTTTTCATCCCGGTCAGTTTCTCATACCTTGAGTTCCATCAGTGAACATCCCTGGTGGACACGGAGCACAGAAAGATGATCCGTTGTTGTAAAAACCAGGGTTGCAAGGCGGACATTCCTTCCTTTCTCCCGAAGGAGGTAGCTTCACCGCTTCAGAGACGTCCTCCTGGCAGATCTTGGGCTCCACCCATTTGTACATGAGCTGGGTCTGAAAATAAGAAGATACAGAATCAAACTAAGACTGTTGACCCGGAATTAGGGGACAGCACAGGAAGTATCAATTGTGAACATGGGCAGATGGCCCGGCTGTCTTTGGGCACTTGCAGAGTCGTGGATGCAGGGTCATGAAAGGACAGCAAGGAAAACACCCAACGTCCTAACCCACCTGGGAACGTAGGATGTCTTTCGGGAAACACCCCAAAGGGAACATTTTTAGCTACTTCTGCTTTCTCCTTCTTACCTACAGTAGTGCCAGCCTTACAGGGTAAAGTCTTTATCTTATGGTGTGTCAGCTTTGCTGGGTGGGTTGCTTATGTAATCAGAAAGAATAAATACAAGGATTTCTTATGATTCGGGGCTTCTCTCTTTTAGAGGAGCCCGTCTTTGTTCAGCTGAATAAGAACGTAAAGCTTGAAGGCAACTTCTGGCTTCCTGTATTTTTTTCTTTATCAAGCAACACCTCAGAACGTGCACAGCAAGACTGATACTTAAGAAAATCAACTATTAGGTAGGTACGGCTGGGACAGAAAAGAAAGCAATGGAAAGAAGCAACCGAACAGAAACTGGAAACTAAGAGTAGGCTTGGAGAAGACACAATGAAGTTAGCAACTGAGGCGAATACCAAGTGAATTAAATTCCTCTGCTGATCACTATCAAGATACCTGTCAGGTCCCCAAATCCTTATGCTTTTCCTTGCATATATATACTCTTCTGCTTTTGTTTGGGGGCCTGCCACTCGGCTGGGGGGAGGTGGGGATATTTGCTTTCACTTGGGATAACTTTGCTTTCTGCTTTTCCTCTCCCGCCTCTATCCACTTGAGAAAGGAATGTGTCTCCCTTATCAGGGAGACGGGTTACAGAGAAACGAAACTGGAGAAGACATTGTGCCACCTGTGGATTGGCTGGATTTCAAGTGCACACTATGACTTTGGTGAGACGAGAAATGTTGCTGGTTTAACTATACCGTTTGAATGGGATTTTCCCCAGATCTCTCCTGGACTTCCCTACTGTCACTGACCCCTAATAAAAGTTTCCTTTCCTACTCTGAAAGTCTTGTGATTCCGTGCCAGCCTGTGCTCCCAACAGCTGAGTCTGAGGAATCTGAGGAGGAGGTGGAGGAGGCATTTGAAGGGCCATCAGGGTCAGAGGAAGGCTCTGATGAATTACAGGACTCACAGTTTGATGCAGAGCCTGGGCCCTGCAGTTGTGTCCCTGATGAAGCTCAGCTGTATGAGGAGAATGAGTCAGACTCGGAGGACTCACACCTGATGGACTTGCTAATTGATGCTCACAGACGTCGTCAATTAGCGAGAGTAAATCAACAGCAGTCAATGCGGCAACTCCAGAGTAAAAGGACAAGGCAATGAGAGGCAATACCTTGGGACTGCTGTATAAAAAGAGGAGGTGTGGGCAGTGCTGGTTGCTGAAAGCAACCGTTTTCAAAGTGCTTCTTGGAATCCTGGTCTGTTCCTCTTGCTTGTGACTACTCTTCTGTTTGCATCGTGTTTCCTGTGGACTATTTCCTTCCTTTGGATTGAGTTTTGCTGTTTGTATTTTGGACTATTCGGCAGGTTTGTCACCCATATTAAAAAGGGTTTGTTTTGTTTTAAAGTCTCCAGCCTATTTTATCAACAGGGGTTTGGTCCTTGTGCCTTTAACAAGGATGGCAATAGGCTGGGATAGAGCAGAAAGGCGTGTAGCCGGTACTGCTGTGAACAGAATTATTGTACGCCACCTCTGCGAAGGGGAGGAGGTCAGTCCAGTTTGCCTGTTGGTAGGAAACATAGCATCTGAGGTATTGCTCCACCATTTTGTTAGCGGATTCTGCAGCACCGTTGGTGGCTGGATGAAAAGCAGACGATAAGCCTTGAGATGATCCAATTAATTTAAGACAACTCCTCCAAAACCTCGCTGTGAACTGCACCCCCCTGTCCGAAATTATTCATTTAGGGGCGCCATGCAGCCGGTAGATATGTTTCAGGAACAATTTAGTCAGTCGTTGGGCAGATGGGAGTCCTTTGCAGGCGATGAAATGAGCCTGCTTCGAGAACAGGTTTATCACAGTCCATATGACAGTATTTCCTCTACTTTCAGGTAGGTCTACTATAAAGTCCATAGTTATTTCTTCCCATGGTTGAGAAGGGTCTGCCATCGGCTGCAGTAACCCAGGGTTGTTTTGAAGCAATGCCTGTTTCAAGAGTTCTGCTTTCTTGGGTGGCTAGCTGAGGTGGGTCCTTACAATACCACTATGTGTCAATGCTGCTGAAGTGGTGTCTGGATGTTGAACCTTCACACACAATATTTAACCAGTATCTGTTGGATAGATTCATGTAGTCAACATTTGATGGGAGAGTGGGAACCTTTTTACTCAGAGCTACCAAAACCAGAGCAGGAAGGGGAAACAGAGTGAGTAAGGACTAAGTTACAGTATGTTTGAAAAGTACCACAAGGGCAATGGCTGAACATCATGGAAACCTGACTCTGAACTGTTTGTGCATTACTTGAAAAATCAAGAACTGCGATGCTCTCTGAGCTTGGGGGTTTTCCTGCAGACGTTTCATGACCCAAATAGGTAACGTCTTCAGTGGTAGAGGGAAGTGAGGTTTTCAGAGACAAGGAGAAGGAAGGGAGGAGGAGGAGGCAGAGGCAGAAGAGGAGGAGGAGGAGGAGGAGGAAGAAGAAGAAGAAGAAGAAGAAGAAGAAGAAGAAGAAGAAGAAGAAGAAGAAGAAGAAGAAGAAGAAGAAGAAGAAGAAGAAGAAGAAGGAAGGAAGGAAGGAAGGCAGAAGGAAGGAAGGAAGGAAGGAAGGAAGGAAGGAAGGAAGGAAGGAAGGAAGGAAGGAAGGAAGGGAAGAAGAAGAGGAGAAGGAGGAGGAGGAGAACTCTGGGTTTCTTGGTGCTCTCTGAGCTTGATTGTTTTCTTGCAGACATTTCACGACCCAACTAGGTAACATCATCAGTGTTAGAAAAGCAGTGAGGTTTGCAAAGAGAAGGAGGAGAAGGAAAGAAAGAGGAGGAGGCAGAAGAGGAGGAGCATGGGAAGAAGAAGAAGAAGAAGAAGAAGAAGAAGAAGAAGAAGAAGAAGAAGAAGAAGAAGAAGAAGAAGAAGAAGAAGAAGAAGAAGAAGAAGAAGGAGGAGGAGGAGGAGGAGGAGGAGGAGGAGGAGGAGGAGGAGGAGGAGGAGGAGGAGGAGGAGGAGGTGGTGGTGGTGGAGGAGGAGGAGGAGGAGGACTGTGGGGTCCTTGGTGCTCTCTGAGCTTGGTGGCTTTCTTGCAGACGTTTCACGACCCAACTAGGTAACATCATCAGTGCTACAAGGGAGTAGGGTTTGGTCCTTTCTAACACTGAAGAGATTACGTAGTTGAGTTATGAAACATCTGCAAAAGAACCACCAAGTTGAGAGAGCAGCAAGGACCCCACTGTCCAGCCCTGAGCTACAAATATTCTCTTCTATTGACAACATCACGGCGTGGATTGGCTTTCTGCCATCACATTTGAAACAGGATCTGTGTAACTACAAGGTGCTTGAAACCATTTTACTCTTCTCCAGGACAAAGGCAGAGTTCAACCCAGCCCAAGACATTTATGCACAGAAGCAAATCCTTGGTAAAAGGAGACGCAGCGTTCAGACATTCCTGAGTGAAGACTTCTTGCATGTGACCCACTGCAATGGATTGGGAAGATTTAGGATCAGGAGCCGGGGAAGAGATCCAACTCACTTTTCCTTCCCAATCACACGGAGTATGGATCTGGAAAAAGTCTTTATTGGAGCAAGGAAGGCGTTCCAGACATTGTCCTGATCCTTCATCTGAAAATAAAAGACGAGAAGCGTAAGACTCAACTTGCCTGACAAACATGAGACCTAAACTACTGAAGGAGGGTTTTTTTTTTCTTCCGTCTGGGGAGAACCAAGAGACACAATAACAGGCAGCAGAGCAGAGGAGCTCCGGAGATGAGCAACGGTCTCCCCTGCCTGATCCGTGAACGTGGAGAATGGAGAGGAGGTAGAATCAAAGCAGGGCGATCCAACTACTCGGGACGAGGATACCCCGCCCCTCTTCACAAGGTTCACCTGGGGAGTAGGATTTAAGGAGATGACATGGGGAGGGGCTTTTGTCAGGAACAAGCGTTGCATTTTTCTAGCCACATTTGCTGTTACCGACATCTTGCTAACCTTGCTTTGCCTTGCCTAGCCTGGCCGTGTGCAACTTTGCAGCGACACAGTTCTGCTCCAAGTTGTACTGCAGTACCAGCGAACTCTCCATATGACAAGGATGCCCTGTGACCAGTGGTGGGATTCAGCCAGTTCGTACCACTTCAGCAGAACCGGTCGCTAATTTTTTGTCGCCCAGACCCAGAATGGACTTTCAGAAGCATCATCCACACAAGAGAACCAGTTGTTCATGTATTTGAATCCCACCACTGCCCGTGATCAAGCTTCCTGACCTGTGCTGCTCCCTTGGATTTCTAGCAGCCAGGAACTATTGGAGGTGTGTGTGTGTGTGTATGTGTGTGTGTGTGTGTGTTTAGAGCAAACCTATGGCACGTGTGCCACAGGTGGCACTCAGAGCCCTCTCTGTGGGTATGTGCGCCATCGCCCCAGTCCTAGGCCTTCAGCTGGGTTTTATAAAATCTTTTCGCTTTAGGCCTCCACCACCGTGTGCAAAAAAAAAAAAAGGTTCAATCAATCAATTTCAACTTTTTGCGGGAAAAATAAAGATCTCGCAAAGTTGGAATTGATTGATTGAACTTTTTAGTCCCACGCAGTCTGCCGTTACCACCGCAGCCTCGCCCATCCAATGGGCTGCACCCACCCAATGGTCCACACCTACCCAGCACCCGATGATACATAAGTGGGTTTTGGGTTGCAGTTTGGGCACTCGGTCTCTAAAAGGTTCACCATCACTGGTTTAGAGCTTTGCTCTTGGACTTGCAGTGAACTGTGGAAATTTTTTTTTGGGGGGGAGGGAGAAGTTGGATCAATAAAAGGGAGTTAATCCTTCACTTTGGCTGTGTTGCTTCCGTGCCCAGTCCTGGGTCATAACAAGCGCTGCCTTCGCAACCAGTGGGTCTCTAATCTTTCAATCAATCTGAAATCTTTCCTGGCTTTGAGTGAACATCTTAATCTGAACTGGGACATTCGGTTCTCCCCGGAGAAGGGAAAGTTACCTGAATAATGTGTTTCTTCAGGACACTTGGTGCATTCCCGAGCCCCCTTTTCTGAGTAGGTGTTTCTTGGACAGATTTCACACATGGAGGAACCTGATTTGTTGCTAAAGGTGCCTGGCTTGCAGGGAAAGCATTCAGACGTGTAGGCCACCCCTGCAAAACAGAGAGCACAGACAGAGCCCATTTAGAGAATGCAAAACCACACGGAATTAGATTCCAATTGCAATAATGGAGCTGGGTGCCTGGGGGGAGGGGCATAGTGCTGGATTGGAGCAATTTTATCCTGCTTTCAATCCCTATTTTGCTACAAAATTCATACCAAATCCAACATTCTCTGGAGCTAGCAGAGATGGCTAAGTTGACTGCATTGATTAAATAAAATAATGCAAATACTCATATTGCTATGTGGAAACCACTTCTGGACTTTATGCTTGAGGTGGAAAAAAAATTGAAACTTTGATTTTGGGCTTTACCGATTAGATAGATTTGATGTTATTGAAATGGCTAGTTTATACTATTTTGTAAAAGTAAAGTAAAAGTAAAGGTTTGATGTTGATGTTCTATTTTACTGCATCAAAGGAAGTTGGAAGTTAATGCCTTTTTTTCCTTTTTTCTTCTTTCCCTCACTTTTCTATTCCCTTTTCCCTTCCCTATCTCTTCCGCTATTTACTTTTGTATTTTCATTGTATTGTACATTATAAACTAATAAAAACTTATATGTTAAAAAATCCAAAATTCTATTTACCTAGAACATTCTTGGATTAGCCAAAGGTTTATTTCAGTGTCTGTTAACCTGACAGGAGCAGAGAAACACCAGGCAAAATTAAATTATTAGGTTTTGGGAGAGGTGCATGTTCAAGTAAGCCCTTACAGTTTTCTATGTAAGATTTCAGAAGTGGCTTGTTGTTGCCTCCGTCTTAGGGTTGAGAGGGTGTCACCCATCTGATTTTCATGCCTAAGGCAGAACTCCGCTTTTCCAGTTTTTAGCTAGATGCCTTGCATAAAACTGCATATTTGATATTATCCCTTTCAAATCCAAGGCTTCTGTTGTTGTTAGTTGCGAAGTCATGTTCGACCCATCGTGACCCCATGGACAACATTCCTCCAGGTCTTCCTGTCCTCTACCATCTTCTGGAGTCCATTTAAGCTCAGGTCTACTGCTTCAGGGACTCCATCCAGCCACCTCATTCTCTGTCGTCCCCTTCTTCTATTGCCCCCAATCTTTCCCAGCATTAGGCTCTTCTCCAGGGAGTCCTTCCTTCTCATTAGGTGGCCAAAGTACTTGAGTTTCAACTTCAGGATCTGGCCTTCTAAAGAGCAGTCAGGATTGATCTCCTCTGGGACTGACCGGTTTGATCACCTTGCAGTCCAGGGGACTCGCAGGAGTCTTCTCCAGCACCAGAGGTCAAAGGCCTCCATTCTTTGGCGCTCAGCCTTTCTTATGGTCCAACTTTCATAGCCATACAACTGGGAAAACCATGGTCTTGACTATATGCACTTTTGTTGGCAGGGTGATGTCTCTGCTTTTTAATATTCTGTCTAGATTTGCCATAGCTTTCCTCCACAGGAGCAAGCATCTTTTAATTTCTTGGCTGCAGTCCCCATCTGCGGTGATCTTGGAGCCCAGGAAAATAAAATCTGTCACTATCTCCATTTCTTCCCCATCTATTTGCCAGGAATTGAGAGGGCCGGATGCCATGATCTTGGTTTTCTTAAAACCTCATGGACAGTACCAAGGCTTCTAGCTATGCCTTTAATACATGGATTGGACCTGTTGTGCATCACACAGAGTCTTCCTGGAGTTGGACAGTCATAAGAACTCCAATAAATAAATATATAATAAAGCAAAAAAATATTATTTGGGACGTCAAGCAAAATTCTTTCCCTCTTCGTATACATTCTGCTACTGTACTAAGTTTTAAAAAGCCACAGCCCTTTGCAGTGGGCAGTTTCCTTTAATTTGCTATAAACAGTGGAGGATGCATTTAAAAACCGAACACAAATAACATACTGACTTTGTTTAAAAGGCTCAAGACCACTATTAAGTGTACATACTCACCTGTCTTAGACTAAAACAGCTAAAGAATAAAGTTCTGTGAATTCCTTTGACGCCTAATGATGCATGTCTTCTCCTGCACTCAGGGCCAGCTTTCAAGTCACTCAAAAATGTGGCAAGAGGTTTTCAAAAGGGATTGAGGAGGGAAGAAAAGAAATTCCTGGGAGACAGGCATGCAGAAAGTGCAGCTCAAGGCCTTTACCTCTTTGGTGGGAGCAAAATGTGTGCCTTTCCCAAGACATCTTTAACAAAACACTTGGTGTAATCCATTTCGTCAACTGCAATCAACCAGTTTGCAGATCGCTCCCATATTTTAGCACTTGCCCAATTTACAAATTACACATAATTTAAAAACTATATTTTTCCCACCCAATGCATTTTTTTCTTGTTGCTGTTCTACAAAAAACCAACTGTTTTTGCTTAATGATATGATTTTGTCTATTGTTCTATAAATCACAAGTCGTCCTCATGAAGGTCTTGCTTCAGTGTGAATTTTAGCTGTTCACTGGCCCAAGTTCTTAATCAATAAAGCTACTATTTCCCCTGTGGATTCACTTCTATCCAGCAGGTGTCACTATTTTCCTAGTAATTAACTTATGCACAAAACTGCTGCACTAACCCAGCTAGTACAGGGCTTTTCAACATTCTCCCCATTGTACCACTTTTAGGATATGGCAATATCCGAGTACCACCAGTCACCTAGCAAGGTGTCAAAAAATTGATCACCAAAAAACAAAAAGGAAAAAAGTAATGAAGTTCAGGTAGTCCTCGACTTACAACAGTTCGCTTAGTGACTCTTAGAAGTTACAATGGCACTGAAAAAAGTGCCCCCCAAGCCACAGCCAAGCAAAACACCTGCCTGCCCACCTGGCAGCGCTCTTCCTCCTGTCCGAGGTTTTCATTGTTGTGAGCATTTCTGTTGAGGATTGGCAGCAGGGGTGGGATGGGGGGGTGTTTGGTTTTTATTCCCGTTCGTCTGCTGGGTGGTTGCAAAAGGTTTTGGTCACTTCACATGACCCTGGGACACTGTGACCATCATAAATATGAATCAGTTGCCAAGAATCTGAATGTAAATGACAAGACCCTGGAGATGCTGCAACATTCCAGCTGATCAGTGCTTCTTCTGGGCTCAGCAGAAGCACCAAGATCAGCACCAAGCTCCAGATGGAGTCTGGCGTTGATTCTGGCGCATCCACTGAGCCCTGACAGCCCTGCAGCTCCAGCCATCTCTCACTCAGCTTTGTGCGGTGCTGCCACTGGTTCAGCTCATTCCCCTTCCCTGCTACCACTTTTCTAGGATGGTCGCGTACCACCTGTCAGGTGCCAATTTACCACAGGTGGTACCCGTACCACTGGTTGAAAAGCCTTGAGCTAGTATACATTATTTTTTTAAAAAAAAATGCCACTGCAAATATTTATTTATATTTCCTATTTCTTAACCTCCCTGCTCCCTCAGAGTGCTTTAACAGTGGGAAAGTAAGAAAAAGAAATCAGAAATCAGAAACTTCGCGTTTTCATTTTAAGTCTTCCCCGATACGTTCCTCCATTGCAGCTGCAAATAGAAAGATTCTCACAAGCTAAAGCTTAATTCCTGCAGTCTGCAGGAACATCGTAGGGATGCACTGAAAATGCTCACCTTCAATTGTGATGTTTTTCACAAGGACGGGCTTCACCACCTGCGACCCCATTAGTATCCCAGTTGTTCTCCAGTACAGGATATTAGTTCCTGACTTCAGGGTTACCTGGGAAGAAAGGAACAACAATTTAAATGTAAAGGCAGGACAAGAAGCAACGGGTGGAAACTAACCAAAGAGAGAAGCAACCTAGAACTAAGGAGAAACTTCCTGACAGTTAGAACAATTAACCAGTGGAACAACCTGCCTCCAGAAGCAGTGAATGCACCAACACTGGAAGTTTTTAAGAAGAGACTGGACTGAGCAGGCGGTTGGACTAGATGACCTCCAAGGTCCCTTCCAACATCATCATCATCATCATCATCATTATTATTATTAAATATATATTTTCTTAATTAGTACTTCTTCAGTTGGTAAATTTTCATTTTTTCAATATTGGGCAAACACAATTCTTGCTGCCGTTAATAAGTGTAGCATCAGATACCTGCAATCTTTCTCATAATTAGCTCCTATTATTCCTAACAAAAATAATTCTGGACTGTGCAGAAATGGATAGATTGATTTTAAAGATTAAAGAGAAAGAAGACTCAGTGTACTTTAGAATGTGGGATAATTCCTATCGATGGCTAGACAAACAGGTCAGAGAGAAAGGAATGTGATATGTAATTTTGAAGATATATTAGCAAGAAGGCTGTTGAGTGATGAATTAACATATTGCTTATGATAATGAACTACATCTAATATTGTTAGTTAAGCACATGTACCCAGATATTATACTGTTTGATAAATATTGAAAATGTTATTTGGAAAAACCCCAACCCCAACCCTAATCCCGACCCCACCTTATCCCTAACCCTATAAAAATTAATAAAATCTGTACAAAAAAAAACCCCGTATAGATATACAGACAGTCCTCAACTTACAACAGTCCATTTAGTGACCATTGGAAGCTGCAACAGCACTGACAAAAGTAACTTACAACCATTTTTCACAGTTACATCCTTTGCAGCATCCCCGGGGTCACGGGTCAAAATTCCAACACTTGGCAACTGGCTCGTACTTATGACGGTTGCACTATCCCCAGGGTCCTGTGATCTCCTTTTGAGACCTTCTGACAAGCAAAGTCAATGGGGAAGCCAGATTCACTTAACGACCGGATTACTAACTTCAACAGCTGCAGTGATTCGCTTAACAACTGTGGCAAGAAAGGTCATAAGATGGGGCAAAAGCTCACTTAAGAACTCTCTCGCTTAGCAACAGAAACTTTGGGCTCAATTGTGGATGTAAAGTGAGTAGCTGCACCAGGCTGCCTTTAGAACAATTAACCAGTGGAACAACCTGCCTCCAGAAGCGGTGATTGCTCCAACACTGGAAGTTTTTAAGAAGAGGGTATAGGGTTTCCTGCCTGAGCAGGGGGTTGGACTAGATGACCTCCAAGGTCCATTCCAACTTTATACTACTACTACTACTACAACTATTATTATTATTATTATTATTAATGCAAACTAAGCACGGAAGAGACTGGATGTAAGAAAAAGACTTTAACATACAATTAAAAGCATGGAAGAGACAGGATGTAAGAAAAAGAGTTTAACATACAATTAAAAGTTATTTTCCTGGCAGGTATAAATCTCTGATTATTAGGCAAGTGCTTGTAGAAGGAAATATTTAAAAAAAAATCGAATAACAACACATGGAAATTGATGTGAAGTTATGCGTGCCCATGCTTTGTTTTGCTGAAGTGCCTTGAAGGAAGTGGCTAATGGTAGAGCCAAACACAGTGACAACCCAGTTTTAAAGCACATACACACACACAATTGTCCCACCCCATCTCAAGGCAGAGAGAAAAGGAATTCCTTTCTTAAAGGAAAGCCTCGCCCTGTTTACTCAGCTCAAAAATGTTTCCGTGTGCGATAAGGCATTGGTGTGCAGCTAAAAGGGACTACCTCGTTCATTCAAGCATTTTATGCAGCGTTTCCGCAGTTCTGAAAAGTACACACACGCGCACACATACACACACACACACACAAAAATCTCAAAATAGAGCCACTTTCTCTTTACTGCGGATATGGAAATTTGGAGTCCTCTAGTAGGAGACTGCTTATAAAAAAACTAAAGCAGCTCTCCTTTAAATGCTGTTTTAATCGATCAATTACATCATTCAAAGGCATGGATTATTTTTTTTAAAAAAAAAAAAACTAAGCCACAGCAGCTGGCCAATTTTTGTGACCAACCATAACAGTTTGTGACACTAAGTCACAAAATGAACTAGCCATCTTGCGGCTTAGTGTAACGCATAAGACAGTGATAGCTAATCTTTTAGAGACCGAGAATGCCCAAATTGCAACCCAAAATCCACTTATGTATCATCGGCTACCAGGTGGGCATGGCCCATTGGGTGGGCATGGCCCACTGGGTGGGTCTGGCCCATTGGGTGGGTGTGGCCCATTGGGTGGGCATGGCCCATTGGGTGGGGGTGGCTGCAGTGGTAATGGCAGATTGGGTGGGACTAAAAAGTTCAATCAATCAATTCCAACTTAGCAAGATCTCTTTTTTTCCACGAGAAGTTGAAATTGATTAATTGATTGAACCTTTTTTTTTTTTTTTTGCACACAGCGGCGGAGGCCTAAAGCGAAAAGGTTTTATAAAACCCAGCTGAAGACCTAGGACTGGGGAGACGGTGCGCGTGCCCACAGAGGGCTCTGCGTGCCACCTGTGGCACTCGTGCCATACGTTTGCCACCATGGGCATAAGGCCTGGTCAATTAATGACTTCTTTAGTCCAGGTGAACCAGCAAAGGTGAGACTATTCATAGAATAACAGAGCTGGAAGGGACCTTGGAGGTTCTCTAGTCCAATCCCCTACTCAACCATTTCAGATGAACGGCTGTCCAGTCTCTTCTTGAAACCTCCAGTGATGGAGCACTCACAACTTCTGGAGGCAAGCTGTTCCACTGGTTAATTGTCGGGAAACATCTCCCTAATTCTAGGTTGGACCCTTCTTTAATCTGTTACTTCTTATCCTGCCCTGAATTCAGTGGTGGGATTCAAATATGTGAACAACCGGTTCTCTTGTGTGGATGCCGCTTCCGGAAGTCCATTCTGGGCCTGGGCAACAAAAAATTACCTATCGGTTCCTCCAAAGTGGTGCAAATTGGCTGAATCCCACCACTGCCTCAATTCCTTTGGAGAATAGATCAACCTATTCGCTATTCACTAAGATTAGCCAAGTTGTGATTAATAGATTGTCACACGTTTGTTGGTAGTTACACAGAACCAAGGAAAGGAAAAAAAAAGGAGGGATGAATAATATAGAAAAACATAAGCTTTTGGGCGGCTGAACTCCATTATTCAGCCATGAAATAATAGAGATCCACAAAAGGTTTTAAGATCAAAATAATTTGAGTTCAGAACATCTGACCACAAAATTTGTCACTGGGAAAACTCTGGAACATTTCAAAGCCAGGGCACAAATGATCAGATCCAGAAATAAATCATTTTGATCTAGGAATATAGGCTGGGCCACTTTGGGATATTATGAGCTCAACATAGTTTGTCTAAAAAAAAAAGTCTTGCTTTGAAAGACCAACAACTTTCAACTAAAGCAGTGCTTCTCAATTATTTTCTGTCATGCCCCCCTAGGAAGAAGAAAACATTTCGCGCCCCCCCCCACGTGACTGTCTATCCAATCGGGTCCTTTGTGTGTGTCACGTGCGTCCAATATGACAGTATTTGCCGAGGTCAAATGAGCCCCCCTTTACGGAGCCTCGCGCCCCCCCTGGGGGGCCCGCCCCACTATTTGAGAAGCACTGAACTAAAGCCACACAAGGTTGCACTTACAGAATAGGAACCCCATTCTCCGTTATCTGTCAATTTCACCCATTTATCACTGGTGGAGTCCATTTCTTGACACTGGTCGTTTTGAATCTGAGGATTAAACAAAATAATAGAAGTTACCAGGCTGTCAATCAAGGCAAATAAACAATTAGAATTTATGCAACCATTACTTGCAATTCCATAATCCTTGCCCTGTCATAAAGTAAGCCAAGGGTGTCCTCACCCTATTGCAGAATCAGATAAATTATGGGGGACAGATGGGAACATAACAGAACTGAGTTTGCATAAAACATTGTGTTGTCCTTCTTCCTAGGTGAGATCACAAAAAGATTGCATGCCTATTTTAAGCCAAGCTTTGCTAAATACAATGAGATTTCTTTGCTGAATAACAGCCTTTGTGATTTTCATGTGAAGTTTGAACCTGGGTCACACTGCAGGAGCCTGGAAATCACATTACAATACACAATAAGATCCTTGACTGATATTATTCAATAGACAAGCTAGTAACCAGTTTAACTGGCTTGGGGGAGACAATATATTAAGCTGGCAGTGGGAGAGAAACTGTACTAAGTTACGGCATCCATGTGTAACACTTTTGTCTGTGTCATTTAACAAGGATAAATGTGTGTTGAAAGACAGTGGGCTTCTAACTGCAAATGGCAAAATATAATAATTAATGTTAGGCAGCAGTGTGGATTTCACAGGTAACCACAAGGCTGGAATTGGTAGAGCTTCATAACCCTAACCCTAACCACTGAAGTTATATTAACTATTTTTTTAACCTTTTCCATGGACTCTCTTGTGTGTGCCCATGTACATTCCCAATGACTTTTCTCCTTCAGATCAGGTCACTACTGAGGGCCATGTAGGATGGATGTTGCAATACATAAACTATGGGTTTCGTAACCCTAAGGAGATATTGGACAGCCGTTTGTCTGAAATGGTGTAGGGTCTCCTGCCTGAGCAGGGGGTTGGACTAGAAGACCTCCAAGGTCCCTTCCACTCCTGTTATTCTGTTATTCAAGTATTAGGAAGTCCATCCTACGTGGCCCTCACTATCCAACTTGACTCAGAATCTTCATTATGAGACTCCTCAGCTGTTTGAAGAGGAACATCTACAGGTCCCAAGCTTTGTCTGCTTAAGAAAAGCAAACACTGAAAGGTTTTTGATTCAAATACTCAGAACACTACGGTCTCATTTAAAAATGATGGGCAAGTTCCCTTATAGGTATCACAGCCAGGTAACTGCAGAATAAGGACAGTAATCACTGCCCCAATACATAGGCCCAATATTCTCTTGTACTTAAGTCAAAGTCCACATTGTCCGATAGTACAGAATTAGAGAATATTTTTTCCAGACATGAAAGGAAATGCTGCATTTACTTTTGAAGTGGTAAAATATGGACTAGGGCAGGGGTAGGCAATCTTGGCTCTTTTATGACTCGTAGACTTCAACTCCCAGAATTCCTGAGCCAGCCATGCTGAGGGGAAAGGGAGAGGTTTCCAAGCTGAGCCATGCTGGCTCAGGAATTCTGGGAGTTGAAGTTCACGAGTCAGAAAGCGGTCTAGGCCTAGGCCAGGAGTAGGCAACCTTGGCTCTTTTATGACTTGTGGACTTCAACTCCCAGAATTCCTGAGCCAGCCAAGCTGAGGGGAAAGGGAGAGGTTTCCAAGCTGAGCCAAGCTGCCTCAGGAATTCTGGGAGTTGAAGTTCACAAGTCAGAAAGCGGCCTAGGCCTAGACCAGGGGTAGGCCACCTTGGCTCTTTTATGACTCGTGGACTTCAACGCCCAGAATTCCTGAGCCAGCCGTGCTGAGGGGAAAGGGAGAGTTTCCAAGCTGAGCCATGCTGGCTCAGGAATTCTGGGAGTTGAAGTCCACAAGTCATAAAAGAGCCAAGATTGCCTACCCCCTGGACTAGGAGTTATCTGAAGGACTCTTTCTCCTGAGATGAGATAGAATTTCATTCTGTGCCAATGTCTGTTTTAGTCACGATTTGATTAAGCCAAAGGTCCGGATTTTCACAAGTCACCTAGCCACCACAGCATGCTGCACAAACACTATCCTGGCTGTTCTTTTGACCAGAAGCTGAAACTGGCTGCTGCTCATGAAACGTAGAGCAGAACGTCTGGAAAGCTACCAAGAATGTTTTGATCAAAAAAACATTCTGAGCTCGGAGTGACTTTAGGGCTCTGATAATGAGACTGTGCTTCTGTTTTTCTGCCGGGAGGAAAGAAAAATCAATCAGCATCAGACCAGCTGCTTGTTGCATCTGGGAGCAAATCTGTGTTCTGTAATGTAGCAGAATCCCTGATGGTGTCTTTCTTTAGAAGTGAAGAAACTGGAAGGAGAGATATGAAAGCCGTTTTCTACAGGGAAGTGCACTGTCTCATCCACCAAAGGTGGGAGCTGGCACAAGTCCCACAGGGGGAGAGAGCTTTGGGTTGGCAGGATTATTTGGCCAGGCTATCCTGCCTGTATTTCTTGAGCGTCTCCAACCATTCTGCAAAGGCTGAATGCCCAATGTGACAGCCATCCTTTGGGGATCTGAGTTGGCCATGACAGTGATTCACGCCTGGCACAAAAGGAAAGAGGAGGTGAGGCCAAGACTTCTGTTCTGGTTGCGCCGTCCATCCAGGTCCGTGTCAGCCATCACAATTTTGCTTGGAACGCAAGGAAGAATTGAGATTTTCAGGTCCTTGAGGATTTTGCGATGCACAGAAACATCAACCTGGGTTCTACATAACTGAGCAAGAACAGAAACATGGATTGCAGGATCCAATCTGGGTCAGTCACCGGGACCAGAGGTTTTCTCTTCCGAGCTTTTGGACTCCTGCTGGAGCCAATTTTCAGGGAATTTCTCTCTAGCACTGCTCCAGCACGAGTCCCACAGCTCGGAGTTCGATGGGCTCCACAAGTCCAAAAGCTTAGAAGACAAAATCCCCAGTCCCGATGACTGACCCAGATTGGATCCTGCAACATTGTCCTGGGACACATAGATTCGCCTTCATTCGTGAGAAACATGGATTGTCCAGGGAGAAGTCTTAGAAAGAAGACAAAGTTTTTGTCTCCTCTGGACGTTGACTTGAGATTAGAATTGCCCTTCTATACTCTACAACAGTGTTTCTCAACCTTGACAATTTTAAGGCATGTGGACTTCCATTGCTGGCTGTGGAATTCTGGGAGTTGAAGTCCATATGCCTTAAAATTGTCAAGGTTGAGAAACACTGCTCTACAATGCTGTAGGTCTTTGGAAGCCAAACCAGTGAGCTGATGGCTTGTCTCTTGATACAGAGAAGACAGTGGTGGGATTCAAATATGTGAAAAACCGGTTCTCTGTGTGGATGCCACTTCTGGAAGCCCGTTCTGGGCCTGGGCAACAAAAAATTAGCTACTGGTTCTGCTGAACTGGTGCAAACTGGCTGAATCCCACCACCGAGAGGAGACCCAGAAAAATCAATCTTACCACATCTCCTCTGGAGCTGGTCTCATTCTACCTCTTGGGACATCCTCTCTCCCTCTGGATGGTAAGATCTACTGTGCCTTGCCTTCATCCCTTCACTCTATACCATCCCTTGGCAGGTAATTTTAACACCCCTCCTGTGCATTGTTTGGTCAAAACTTAACACTTTCCATCACAGTGAGAAGCAACAATCATAAGGGAAAGGTATGAAGGTAGAGATGCAACATGCACCAGGCATCTACAGTAGTGGCCAAAATTGTGGAAACCTTTTGGGAAAAGTGTATTTTTGAGGTTTGATGGCTAATAACACCACTTTTGGGGGGGGAGTAGTACCATAAAGTTATATATCAATGGAAAGATAATTTAATCAAGAATGTAATGCAACATGGTTTGTTCAATTATCTGTACTGTATTCTATTAAAAGTTATAGCCAAATAACCAGAAAAAGGAAGCACAACTTGCTTAGGTTGATATCAGGTAGCTTTCCTTCATCTGATTGTAGCCATGGGCATGAGTATTTAGAGAGCCAATCAGGTGTCATCTTGTTTTGGCAATGAGTCAATCAGATCACAGTAGGATTCAGTGATTGATGTCATGTATTGAGGCTGAAAGGAGGACATTTGTCAGTGTGTTATGTGATCACTATCAAATTGGTTGGGGTTTTTTGTGTTCTTTCATTTAGTGATCTTGTAAAAGATAATAAAATTAAAGCAATGGTGCAAAGAGTTGACTGGTCACCCAGAAAGCGATGTAAAATAGTATTATTAAGTGAACAAGGCTACAGTTATAAAGAAATTAGAAGAAAATGGGTGGAAACTTAACCAAAGCATTTCTACTGTACACTTTCCCCAAAAGTTTCCACAATTTTGGCCACTACTCTAGAAGACATCATCGTAGAGACATTCCCCGATGCTCCAAAGTTAATGCAGGACTACCAAGAATGAAACCAGAAGATGCTGTGAGAAAGTGATCCTAAATCAAAGCATCTGCTAAAGTCCACCAAGTAGAGGGCACACGTATATGGCTTGCAGCTATACCCAAAAAAAAAAATGAAGATTTGGAATCTGGAAGTTCTTTGACACACAGTCATGGCCTCTACCATTTGACCTGAAGAGGCACCAAACCTGTACCTCAAATGACTCTATGAAATGGGTGAAAAATCTGCTGAATGCAGATGGTCTTCTACAGTTGCCAAACAAGCAATAGCACTAGCACTTAGACTTATATACCGCTCCATAATGTTTTGCAGCACTCTCTGGGCCATTTACAGAGTCAGCATATTGCCCCCAACAATCTGGGTCCTGATTTTACTGACCTTGGAAGGATGGAAGGCTGAGTCAACTTTGAGCCGGTCAGGATCGAACTCCTGGCAGGGGGCAGAGTTTAGCCTGCAATACTGCATTCCGACCACTGCGCCACCCCAGTCTCTGAGTGGGCCATTTTTGCCCAGCCAAGTCAAACACTCCCAAATCTAGTCAGTATATCCCTTCTGACATTCGGTAAGTTAACACATTAAGTCACATTCAGTAACATGACAAGTTTATGGTGATCTTACTGAAAATTCCAGGACCATGGAAGAGGGGAAAAAAAGGCAATGGAAAATCACTTCCATATTGTTGCCAAGAAAATGACCTACCCAGTTCAACCAGAACCTGTAAACCAGGGGTAGGCAACCTTGGCTCTTTTATGACTCGCGGACTTCAACTCCCAGAATTCCTGAGCCAGCATGGCTCAGCATGGAAACTCTCCCTTTCCCCTCAGCATGGCTGGCTCAGGAATTCTGGGAGTTGAAGTCCATGAGTCATAAAAGAACCAAGGTTGCCTAGCCCTACTCTAAACCATCTCAACCTGGTCATGAGGCACAAGAGGAATCAAGCCAAAGACTTCAACTAGAGCACCTAAAATCATGTGAATTCACCCTCAAAGAGATGAAGTCTAGAATGTCTACCTTAACAAGGTTACAAGTTGCATTAGTCATTAGGCGGGCCACCTTTCCATCAGCAAAGCCAATTTGGTGGGCATCAAAACCTCAGAGATCTTGGACAATTGCAGCCAATCAGATCTGGCACCTCTGAGTCAACTAAGGAGTCTGTCTTATTGTGGGGAAGAATCATGACTTTGTAAGCCCTAAAGAAAACACAGCTGAGAACACCAATAAACTATCTTAAAATTATCATCTGTTTGGAATATCGTGCCTTAGTTTCCATTGACTCTATAAGGCTGATTTAGTGCACAAATTTCCCTTACAAAGAATTCAAAGAAGATGTTGTTATCAATATACTGATACTCGAAAAAGATGGAACCGGATTTCTTCAGGTGGACCGTGTAGATTAACGAGACGGTGCAGTCATCCCTATTGGACTCAATGTAATTCCCACGAGGGGTCCAGGAAGACCTGGAAAAATATAAAGAGAAACAAGCTTCATTTTATACTTGCCAGGCCTCTTGAGTTTAGATTTATGACAAATTGTTAACTTATAGGCTCTTTAATTATTTATTTATTTAGCACGTGTCAACAGGCTGTTTAATAAAGCTACTAGAATTTGGGAAGGGGGTTCCTTTTTTTTTAAAGAAGGCGATCGAAAAGATTTCTCATGGATCTATTTTCGTTTTGATACTGTCCATGGGGTTTTCTTGGCCAAGGATATTGGAGAGGGTTGCCATTTCCTTCTCCAGTCAAAGCTATGAGGGTTTTTTCCCCCACTTAGTCACATATGGTTGAGCGCTGGAAAAAAATGAATGCTCTCGAATTGTGGTGCTGGAGAAGACTCTTGAAAGTCCCTCGGATTGCAAGGAGATCCAATTAGTCAATTCTGAAGGAAATCAACCCAGACTCTCCTTTGGAAGGCCAGATCCTGAAGCTGAAGAGAGAACTCCTTGGAGAAGACTCTGATGTTGGGGAAAGATGGAAGGCAAAAGGAGAAGGGGACGGCAGAAGAGGAGACGGTTAGATAGGGTCAATGATGCCATGAATTTGGGCAAACTCCAGGAGATGGTGGTGGGACAGGCCCCCTGTCTTCCAGGGGCTCTGAAAGTTTGCCCAAATTCAGGTTCGTGACACTACCTTCCTTTGCTAGAGATGCTTAAATAAAGACTGGATGGTGACCATCAGTCAGGAATGTGTAGATCCCTGCATTGGACAGGGATTAGACCAGCTAATTTCCAGTTATTCCTGACTCTTGCATTCAATGATTTTTGTAATACATCCTCATGCTCTTTTACTGATATCTAGGAAAATCTTGGTCTTCTGAATGCTAAACCTACACCAGATTATTGCCAAGTAGGTGGGTGCCTGTTTACATTCTCTAACTGGCATCTTCTGGCTACTGTTGGAGCCTTGACATACATAAGGAGAGGAAGGGACTACTTCTCAAAGAGGTCCTGGAGACCAGAAGACTCATAAGATTCTTACTTAGCACAGCTGTCAGCTTTACTCTCGGCTGAGCCAAGAATGCTGTCCATGTAGGTTGCTACATTAGAGAATCCCGCCGGCAGGTCATCCCATTCATCAAATTTGATCCCACTTCCCAACGAGTAAGTCCCTTCAGCACATTTACTGCAAACCTGGTTCTTCATTTCCAGATATTCCCCAGAAGCACAAGAGAAAGCTGAGAAGGAAAACATTTACAAATCATTAGTGGCAAAAGGCAGTCGTTCACTGGACGTTCTAACAACATTTTTTTTAAAGCATTGATCACACTATTTGCTTACAACAATGGTAGCAGCAATTCAGGGAATTGCACTAAATTGCTCCATAGACCTGGGGGAAGAATCCAGAGAAAGAAATAATATTTGGGGAAATATTAAAAAGGCAGAATATATTTCCCCAAAGGATTTTAAAGGTAGAAACCAACCAACCCCTCCCCACCACCACCAAGTCTCTCTGCCCCAGACAGAAACCAGGTCTGCAGAAATGCAGATGTGATAATCTTATCAGAAAGACTGGAGTCAGGAAGCTGGGATTAGAAAGAAAAAGATGCCCAGAATCAACAACACCTCACACCCAAAAAAAAAAAAAAATACAACAGTCATCAGCCACAGCCCCAGGGAAGCAGGATATGACCTTTGGGACATAATAGGATTAACCCACCACCATCAGAATACCAGAAAGGCAGACTCAGACTCAGCTCAAAGTTCATGCCACAGGAACAACTCCAAACAAAAGCTCAAGAAGGTGTAAAAACCCACCACTCCCTACTACATGTGGTCAGCTTTCCCAGAGCCACACTTCTGTCTGGCTCTCCTCTTTGATAACTACAACCTTCTTTCTAAAGCAGTCTCCGTTTTGATTATTCCCAGCTTGGACTGCACCCTGATGAAGATTTTTCCTTCAACAGACCTATCCACCCATTTTTTGCATTCAGGGACCTTCATGTTTTAACCATGTATGGTAGGGAATTGTTAGGGTGAGGAGGAGCTGGTTCCAGACCTCATGTTCTCTTCTTACTTCAAAATCATTGAAAGTGAAACAGCAATGCGGTGAATTTGTTACATGGGGCAAACATTTTCCTGCTGAGGTTTGTTTTTGTTTTTTGTTTTAACAGTTTGGGTAGTAACTTGTTACCTGTTGTGTGGCTGAAGTTGTGAACTTTGCCACCAAAATCTCTCAAGGCAATCAGAGAGGGGTCATAACATCTGGCTAGAGTTATGTGGTCCCTGTAGCTGGTTTATACAAAAGGTGACTTGCTTTTTGAAGCTCAAAATACAAATATTTTGGTATGATTAACCAGAATTTATTCCTTGTGTTCTGACACTGCAGGGGAGGGAGAGAAGGAGAAGGAGAAGGAGAAGGAGAAGGAGAAGGAAGGAAGGAAGGAAGGAAGGAAGGAAGGAAGGAAGGAAGGAAGGAAGGAAGGAAGGAAGGAAGGAAGGAAGGAAGGAAGGATCCAACCATTCTTTAGGTCATCTTCTGATCTTCTACTCATAATTCATCTACAAGAGAACATGCAATTTCCATAATGCTCTTTTCTTTACAATGTTTATCTGTGATGGGCCTCTTATCAGGAGGAACTACCTGGGAGTGGAAAATATCATTTACATGTGTGCTTTCTGACCAAACTTGACTTTCAGGTTTGACCACAATGCACACATTCTCCTAACTCATTCCTGACCTGCAACAGAGAGGAATAGAATTTTTATATATACATTCAGCTCAACATGCAATGAATTAGAACCAAGGTTGGTTTTAGGCCATTGATAAAGTTCTCTGCTGCTTCATTAACATCATTTGATCCCTTAGCCTATTCTTTCCATAATCCAGGGCTGTGTGTTTGTTCCCTTAATAGTACACAAGTCCATAAGGAGGAATTGCTCTGAGAAGGCCAGCTGTTGCCTGGTTTAATCAGCAGCCGATTGCCACTAATAGCAAAAGAATCACTTTGGATATCTGGAACCACTGGAAGACTTGATTTGTAACTAAATTTGTTATTCTGTCAGACTTTCAGCAAGACTTCACACAGTACAATTAGCTGGGCCACTGGATTAGCACAGTGTGGTGAATACACCTTCTGGACTTCTGATGACTGCCTGGGGAGACCAAGAATACACACCTGGTTCCCAGATGAGTTTGCATCAGAGATACACCTGATAGTGGTTGCTAAGCTGCCTTTCATGAAAACGTAATCTCATGATATTTCTCTTCTCCCTGAAAAACAAACCCTCAAAACTTCCCAAGAGCTTCAGCTTTCCCCAAAAGGACAGTACTGGAAATGTTGCTGGTATTTCATAGAATATAAACGATAAGATCTGTTTTCCATATGGATGGATTGACAATAATGATATTATCCATTCAATTATGTCCCAACTCTTGGCGATTCTATGAATCAGTTCTCTCCACATCTTCCAATCTTGCACTGTTTCTCTGACTTGTTCTATGCTCTGGCTGATGTCAGCTTTGATGGTTGATTGATTGATTGATTATGGGCCACCAAGTCATTATTGACCAACTGGCTTTCTCCATGCTGATCTGTCCCGAATCTCATCGTTCTGGTTTTGCAACAGGCAACTCCCATAGCCACTGAAACTGAGTCTTTTTCAATATAATTATGTTCTAAAAAGTAGAATTCTGCAACCTATATCAATAATGAAAAGTACGGGGTATACTTTGGTCCAGTGGTGGGATTCAAATAGGTGAACAACCGGTTCTCTGTGTGGATGCCGCTTCCGGAAGTCCATTCTGGGCCTGGGCAACCAAAAATTAGCTACCAGTTCTACCAAACTGGTGCGAACTGGCTAAATCCCACCACTGCTTTGGTCCTGTAAAATGACAATCAGCAGAACGTCCACCCTGAATGATATTTAATTATTTAAGTAGTGCTCTAACTTTCCCCATTCTTGTACAAAATGAAAATCTTAGCCATTTTTTTCACCATCCAACATCAGGTTGACTCCTTTCTTTACATACTTAGTCCAGTCAACCACTAACTCAGTCAAGTATTATTAATATCTCCGGGTCTCTTAGTGAAAAATCAGTATTTTTCAAATATCTCTAGGAAGTAATGGAGGGCCCATGAACCCTTGTACCAGGAAAGTACTGGATTTTTTTTTAAAGTATGTTTTATTAATTTTTTAACATGATCACTTTAATATTCAGTAGACAGTGCGTTGTCTGGGTTTACATTTAACAAACATTCACTAACAATTAAATTCTATCATCTATAATCCACCTAATAACTTTACTTGATTTCCTCTTTTCCCCATAGTGTTCTCTTTTACCAGCCTTAAGTTAATACAATTCTTATTGTTTTAATAAATGATAATTAAATATAAAAGTTTTCTAATATTTCTACAAATAATAATCACTTCAATATAATATTCCTTTTCTATCTAGTCATTCTTGTCTCATCATATATCCTGTTTACAGTTCTTGTTTACATTTGTTTTTCCCACAATGTTCTAAACATTTTTACTGGTTAAGATCTTCTCAGAAGTAATTACATTTAATATATTTAAATCTCTTTTTCTCATGTAAACCAACTCAATACTTTTACCATTCTTAAGGAATAAATAAGACTAAAAAGAGAAAGAAGAAAAAGAATAAAATAAAAAAGATAGTATGCTACTTAAAATCCCTATTTCCTGTAAGCTAACACACATGGAAAATTTTTATGACTGCCAGTGAGATGCAGAAAGCACAGCTCCACAACACACAAGTTCCAAGAAGGCTCTACGCCTATTTGCACTACTCAGATGACCCTGAGGACACAGATAAATTTCCAGGTGGCCTCAACAACTCTCCAACGCAGGGGTGTCAAACTCAATTTCATTGAGGGCCGCATCAGCATTGCAGTTGCCCTCAGGGGGGAGGTGCGTCCTACTGGGTGGGCGTGGATGGAGTGGGTGTGGCCTATTGGGTGGGCATGGCCAGCTCTACATCATTCGCGTCAAGGGTGCCTGTGGGGGCCAGAGTAGGAGTGGGACAGATCTGAGGGTCTCTGGCAGAAGGGGGTGGGACTGGGGCAGAGCCCATCAAGCCAGATATGTGAACCATTTGCTGGCTACTTCCAGGCGATGGTCCATTTCTTCATTCCTCACAAAGGGTGACACTTCCCCAGCATGCACCCAGGGGGCGGGGCCGACGTAGCAGGGGCTGGTTCCTCGCTGATTCTAGACGGCCTTGTGGAGCTAAGACTGAATGCGTTTCAGCATAGATGGCCACCACAAAATTGTACATTGGCTCCCGGCTGGCCTGGGCCAGGGCCAAGGCAGCGGGGGGCGTTCCCTCACTGTTTCCAGGATGGCTTCGAGGGCCAGATAAAACCACTTCGCGGGCCACATCCGGCCCCGGGCCTTGTGTTTGACATGTCTGCTGCAAAGGACTGCAAATGACCAGCTGTCTACAAGGAATATAAATCTTTCCTTTCCCCACCATTCAGAGGTGAAGACGTTTCTTGCATGAGAAACGAAACATCTTCAAAGAAAAACAAGGAAGTCCAGTTGCCTCTTGAAAACCCATCTTTGGGACAGCCATGGCCTGGATGACTGAGAATCTCTATAGACATTGACGTTTCACTTCTCAGAAGCTTCTTCAGTTCTGACTGAATGGTGGAGGATGGAAGGATTTACATTCCTTGTAGTCTTTTAGTCGTTAGCACTCTTTCTGTGAGTTGTTGAGGCCGGTTTGAATCCACAAATAAATCTCCCAAGTGGCTGCAATGACTCACAAAAAGAGTAAGTACAAGAGTAAATATATATCCTTCCATCTACCACCATTCAGTCAGAACTGAAGAAGCTTCTTGGATGAGAAGCAAAATATCTTCAAAAACAAAAGAAAAGTCTAGTTCAGTGGTTCTCAACCTTTTTAATGCCGCGGCCCCCAACCGGTCGTAAGTCGAGGACTACTCAACCGGTTGTAAGTTGAGGACTACTCAACTGGTGCAGCACCATTTGCAGAATGGGACTTTTGGCGGGCTCAGCAGGGCAGAGACAACCTGGACAATTCCTATTGGCTTTTGAAAGCCAATAGAATTAGACACTATTCAAGAGAGTCTATTCTATTGGCTTTCAAAAGCCAATAGAATAAAAGGGAGTAGCACAGCTAAGGAAAAGGGGAAAAAAATGTCGGACTGCGTTGTTTGGCGACCCCGTGAAATGGTCGTTCGACCCCAAATGGGGTCCCAACCCACAGGTTGAGAACCACTAGTCTAGTTGCCTCTTGGAAAAGCACCTTTGGATTAATCTTATGTACTTCTTTGTGAAGGACTCAACAGAGATTATTCCAGAAAGAATTTTAAAAGCCTTAATTAGGCCACTTATTGTTTATGGTATAGCAGAGAAACTTAAACTGATGCTAGTCAGTTCAGGCAATTTTATCCAATTCCCAAAGAAGATACACTGCCAATCTATCTGAAAAACAAGCATTTTAACTTGGGAACAATGCTGACACTTCCCTGCTAAATTATGATCAGACTGGGCAAGGAAAATATCCAGCAAAATCGTTAAACCTCATTAACCACAAATGCTTTTGCTCTACTAAAATATTAGCAATACATAACTACATCAAAAGAAATTGCATTTCCCTCCTATGCTGGTAGAAAAACCACACTGGGCACCTAATTGTACATGTATATCCTTCCACCTTTTACTTAAAATACCAAGGTGGTTAAGAGTAAACCACAGAACAGCATGAAGCAAACACTCCGCTAACAACTGGCAACAGGCAGCCCAATCAAAACAATAAAATTTATAACCGAGAAACAATTAATAAAAGAGGAAACAGATCAAAATCCTGAGAGAAGTCTGTGAAGCAGGACCAGTGGTGGGATTCAACCAGTTCACACCAGTTTGGCAGAACCGGTAGCTAATTTTTTGTTGCCCAGGCCCAGAATGGACTTCCGAAAGTGGCATCCACACAGAGAACCGGGTGTTCACCTATTTGAATCCCACCGCTGAACAGGACCCATAGTGAAGAAAACATGTAGGGCTCCAGACACACATACTTAGGTTAGCAATAGCACTAAGACTTATATACCACTTCCTGGTGCTTCACAGCCCTCTCTGAGTGATTTACAGAGTCAGCCTGTTGCCCCCAACAATCTGGGTCCTCATTTTACCAAACTCGGAAGGACGGAAGGCTGAGTCAACCTGGAGCCGGTCAGCATCGAACTCCAGGTTGTGGGCAGAGTCAGCCTGCAATGCTGCAGTTTAGCCACTGTGCCACCATGATGGTCTGACCCAGCCTATGTTAGTCCTTGTTAACTCACAAGGACAAACTCCTCTTTTAACAAGTAGGCTGGAAATGCAGGAAAAGCAAACCCCTTTTATTAATTAGGTACAGATCTGCAAAATGTCCCAAAAGTACAGGCAAACAAAACACGATGCAAATAGAGAATTGCTCAAAGGCAAACACAACACGATTCAAATGAATAATTGTCCCAAGGCAAACAGAAATACAATTCAAATGGAGAATTGTTCACAGGCAAGGCAAAAAGAATCTGATTCCATGAAACTTGAGTCCTTTGCAAACGCTTACCTTCAGCAACCAGCACCTTCCCTTTTTATAATGCAGCCCCAAGGCGTGGCTTCTCAAGGCCTTCTCCTCCTTCCTTGGAGTTGCCCCATTGCCTCCCTCTGTCCTGTTCTTGTTGCCTGTCTGCGTTTGCCAGCGTCTATGATGTCTTCCAGCTATGAGTCCTCAGAGTCTGACTCAGCTTCCCCGCACAGCTGAGTCTCAGCCTGAGCACGATTGGAGAGGCCAGGCTCTTCATCAGATTATAAATCCTGGAGCTCATCAGAGCCTTCCTCCGATTCTGATGGCCCTCCAGGTTCTTCTTCCTCCTCCTCTGATTCCCCGGACTCAGCTGCTGGGTCCAGTGGCTGGCACGGACTCACAACACATGGCTCTTAAGGTTAAGAGTTACCATACTTAGGGGCCACTACCGTCTGCTAGATCAGGGGTCCCCAACCTCTGGTCTGTGGACCGGTATCGGGCCGCGGTATGCCAGCAACTAGTTTGCACAATCAAGCAAAGCCCCATTTGCAGGATGCAGGCAGCACACAAAACCACGCACCTGCCGGTCTGCGGAAAAACCTCTCTTCACAGAACCGGTCCCTGGTGCCTAAAAGGTTCGGGACCTCTATGCTAGACGTCTTCCCAACCTCAGATACTAAGTAGACAATTCATATCAGCCCTCTAGATGCCTAAAGGGCACTTCAGGTCTTCCAACATCCCTGTACAAGTAGTACTCAACATACGACCACAATCGAGCCTCAAATTTATGTTGTTACGTGAGACATTTGTCAAGTGAATTTTGCCCCATTTTACGACCTTCCTTGCCACAGTTGTTAAGTGATACACACTGCAGTTCTTAAGTTAGTCACACATGGTCATTAAGCAAAGCTGGCTCCCCCCCTTGATTTTGCTGTCAGAAGATCGCAGAAGGGGATCACCTGACCCTGGGACACTACAACCGTCGTAAATATGAGTCAGTTGCCTCTGAATTTTGATCGTAGGATTACAGGGATGGTGCAATAGTCGTAAGTGTGAAAAATGGTTCTCACTCCTTTTTTTCAGTGCCGCTGTAACTTCAAACAGTCACTAAAGAACGGTTCAAAGTTGAGGACTACCTGTTCTAATTCAGAATCTGCATCACCCATCCTCCACCTGATCCCATTGTAAATCTGGCCCCGTTTGTAAGTTCAGTTTTGTATTTTTATTTTTACACGAACATAGCCTGTAAACCAGTGTTTCTCAACCTTGACAATTTTAAGGCATGTGGACTTCAACTCCCAGCATTGCTGGCTGTAGAATTCTGGGAGTTGAAGTCCACATGCCTTAAAATTGTCAAGGTTGAGAAACACTGCTGTAAACAGAAGCGAAAGGGATTGGCAAGGTCCGTAAGAGATTCGCGACCTCGTTATTATTACTGCTCTTAAATTTTTAATTTAAAGAATTCAATTATTTTTTTCAAAGGTATTATCTTTAATTTTTAAATACAGAAAGACATACTGCATTCTTTCCCTCTGACGGGATCAGGCAAGCTAGAACACTCGGCTCCTGGATTTGGGATCGCAACTCTCCATCTGGATCCGCTGCTGTCACATTCGGTGTACTCGAAATGGTAGTCTGCCTGCAAGAAATTTAAAAAAACAAACAAAGTTTTTTTCCCCTTTAAATAAGCTTTTTGTTTAGGTCAGGTTAGATTTATGAGATTCGGTCACAAAATTACCTTGTTAAGAGCCTCCCGAAGGATGGCCAAGGACTATATCCACCTCTTTAACTGCTGTTTTTTTTTTTGCCACATCTACAACACAATCAAACATGGCTGCTGCTTGTTTACAAGTCAATACTAACATTTGTGATTCAACAACTTCGGTTTAGATCTTGGTACCGGATCAACGGGTGAAGAAAAGAAGAGCAGGATTCGAAAAGGGACATAATTGACCTATCGTTTCTTTTCACAGGAATCTGAGAGATATAACTCAAATCAGGGTTGCAACCTACTAAACCTCTGACTTTATCTAATGCCTGCAGTAAGATTGAGGTTTTAGGTCAGAGTCAAAAGGTGAATATCTCTATTAAAAATCCACCTACTGCTTTAGCCTTTTATATATCTTCATTTCTCTCTCTCTCTCTCTCTCTCTCTCTCTCTCTCTCTCTCTCTCTCTCTGTGTGTGTGTGTGTGTGTGTGTATGCGTTTATGTGTGTGTGTGTGTGAGAGAGAGAGAGAGAGAGAGAGAGAGAAACAAGCAGATACAGAGAGAGAGGGAGAGAAGGAGAGAATTAATGTGTGTTCTATCTATCATCTATCTATCTATCTATCTGTCTGTCTGTCTGTCTGTCTGTCTATCCATCCATTATCTATCCATCCATTATCTATCATCTATCTATCTATCTATCATCTATCTATTTATCATCTATCTATCATCTATCATCTATCATCTATCTATCTATCATCTATCTATCTATCTATCATCTATCTATCTATCTATCTATCTATCTATCTATCTATCTATCCATCCATCTAGAAAACTGATATTTTCAAAGTATTCCAGAAAGCCTGTCCTAATCATTTTTGCTAGGTCAACTCCAAAGGTTAATAGTAACATAGCAAAGAAAGTAAAATATATACAGTATATATGTGTGTAATTGTTTGACCTCTGCAATTTTCTTTGACCTTTGCCTCCGTACATCCTGATCCTCTGTACATCTTGATAGTGAAAAGCATCTGTTTTCCAACAATGGATACAGTTAAAAATGTTTTTAAGATTCCTCAAGCAATAAGGCACAGAAATACAGTAGGAGGTAGTGAGCAGGGTTAATATTATAATGGTGATTTTTTTTTCAGAATGAAGGGGATTTCCAGACTAGGGCACTGGGAATCACTTCAGCTTTAGATCTGTTTGGTCACTTAATGCTGACACTGGTGGCTTAGCTGAGGTTAGTCTGAACACACCCCAAAGGTGGTCTTTTTATCAAAAGTGAGACAACTCTGCAGAGTTTGTGGGTGATGTGTTCCTTCACAAGCAGGAATTCTAGCTTCACACACACACACACACACACACACACACACACACACACACACACACACACATGCAAGCTTCTCGTTCTTTCCTGCCTCCCCCTAAGGAGGTCTAGTCACTGTCGCATTATTTTTAGAGTTTCAAGATAGCAGGAAAAGAAGAGGCTCACAAATCAGGCTGGAGATTCTTTGCAAAACCGTGGGATGGAAATGATGGAGATGCAGAATTATTCATGATCGCTACCTATTTGGTTGGAATAATTGCCTAGGTGAGTTATATTAGACATAATCCTTTCGCAGAATGCACGCTGGCGGTTGATTCATTTAGTCTTCATCCGTCGACCGCTCAGTGCGAGTCCCTGCAGTGCAAATCACTCTCTTTCTAATTGTCATGATTCATTTGTGCCCTGCGGTTCCAATCTGTTTTGCCTGCCAAATGCAAAGGGGATTTTACTCATCCTCCGTTACTCTTCTCTATTTCCCCTAATTACCTTCTGTAAATGCGGAAAGCAGAGTTGTCCATGAGAGAGACTTTCAAAATGCCATCAAGACAGGAGCTGTAACAATGCAATCAAAGCTGCCATCTTGATTTGTCTGACCTCTTTCCCCTTTGATGGAAAGCCTCTTTGAAAGGCAGATGATCACTTCATGGCCCCATTCACATACTCTCTCTTCCTTTGCATAATAAAGACATGGTTTATTTGCAGGAAAAGAAGAGGCAGAGCCTGGAGGTGGCATCAAGAGACGACTCAGCCTACAATCATTGTTGTTGTTGTTAATTGCGAAGTCGTGTCCAACCCATCGCGACCCCATGGACAACGTTCCTCCAGGTCTTCCTGTCCTCTACCATCTTCTGGAGTCCATTTAAGTTCACATCTACTGCTTCAGTGACTCCATCCAGCCATCTCATTCTCTGTCGTCCTGTTCTTCTATTGCCCTCAATCTTTCCCAGCATTAGGCCCTTCTCCAGTGAGTCCTTCCTTCTCATTAGGTGGCCAAAGTATTTGAGTTTCAACTTCAGGATCAGGCCTTCTAAAGAGCAGTCGAGGTTGATCTCTTCTAGGACTGACCGGTTTGAACGCCTTGCAGTCCAAGGGACTTGCAGGAGTCTTCTCCAGCACCATAGTTCAAAGGCCTCAATTCTTTGGCGCTCAGCCTTTCTTATGGTCCAACTTTCACAGCCATACGTTGCAACTGGGAAAACCATGGCCTTGACTATACACATTTTTGTTGGCAGGGTGATGTCTCTGCTTTTTAGTATGCTGTCTAGATTTGCCATAGCTTTCCTCCCCAGGAGCAAGCGTCTTTTAATTTCTTGGCTAAGTTCAAATGCCTGGCTGGTGAATTCTGAGAGTTGATATCTACACCTCTTAAAGTTGCCTAGGCTGGCGAACTCCACACTAAGGTGCATTATAGTCTCAGAGCTATTGAGATCCCAGGTCTACATTCTGGAGCAGACTACTTATGACACAAAAGTTGACACTCAGTTGGACTCCTGGATATATCTCCCCTTGAAAGCCATGCAGTACAGATGGTTGACTTCTGCGTCCACTCCCACTTGGCTTCAAACGATACCATTTTGTGCCCCAAAATATTTGTGCAAGCCTGAGGCTCAATAAGCAAGTCTTACAAAGCCCCACTAGCTAACAAGGACCACACTTAGGCAAGAGATATTTGGCAGAGATACAACTCTTCCTTCAACCCCCGATCAAAAATTTCTGGCAATCGGAGGGAACCATGTTTGTTCATGTTTGTTCACTATGTAACACCAACACAGAAATTGGTCATTCAATGACCTCAAAAATGCAGCAACGAGAGAGCTCTTTCAGGTAGGACAACAATGCTGAAATCAGGACGGTGCTCCTGAGCAGCCAGGAGGAAAGACCGAACCCATCAAAACAGAGAGGAAATTTTTGATAATTAACTTGAGCTATACTTATATGATTTTGTCTTTGAATGACTTGACACCCTGACCACCACGTTGTGTCCTAAGCTGGAAAAAAATGGAAAAAAACAATAAAACTTTTTATAAAAAAACAAAACAAAAAAACTGTAAAACTGCTCTCCTTTAACCCCAACACAATTTTCACATCAAAACCTAAACCATGTAGACATTCACGATAGCCCTAATAATCCTCTCCAGCAGCTGAAGAACAGGACTCATTAGCAGAGTACAATAACTCTACATTTCAAAAAACACCCATTAGTCATGTATCCTCCTTCTACGAGGATGTTAAGGCAAGGTATTGTGGTTTTCCTTGGCTGTCAAAAAGGACCATTGTGTGCTCTCTCATTAAAGTCTGGATGTTTTTTGCACTGCAAATGTTATGAGTAACCAGATTCTGAAAGGTTGGATCCATCAGCACTTAATTTTGTTGTGAGATACACAATGACAAAGATATTCTATTCTATTCTGTTTTGTTCCGTTCTGTTCTATTCAATAATCTATTCTATTCTTTCCAATATATATTCTATTCTATTCTATTCTATTCTATTCTATTCTATTCTATTCTATTCTATTCTATTCTATTCTATTCTATTCCAATATATATTCTATTCTATTCCAATATATATTCTATTCTATTCTATTCTATTCTATTCTATTCTATTCTATTCTATTCTATTATATTCTATTCTTTCCAATATATATTCTATTCTATTCTATTCTATTCTATTCTATTCTATTCTATTCTTTCCAATATATATTCTATTCTATTCTATTCTATTCTATTCTATTCTATTCCATCATTGATGTACAATTGTGATAAAAAAATGATGCTTTCAGAAGGATCACACTACCCACATTCACTCACACTACCGAGTGGTTCACTACTGAAGTAACCAACCCAACCTTCTTTAAGGGCAGCTGTATAAGAACATTATTTAGGTGAGCACAAACACATGGCAGCCTGGCTATGCAACATCTTCCAACAAAGTAGATACACATGCCACTTTGTCAAAGAGTGCCTGGCCACTCAACCCACTGCAGCACAATCAACACAAGTTGTGAAAAGGGTAACACTGCCATACATCAAAAACTTCTCAGAAACATCCCATAGACCAGCGGTTCTCAACCTGTGGGTCGGGACCCCATTTGGGGTCGAACAACCATTTCACGAGGGTTGCCAAACAACGCAGTCCGCCATTTTTTCCCCTTTTCCTTAGCTGTGCTACTCCCTTTTATTCTATTGGCTTTTGAAAGCCAATAGAATAGACTCTCTTGAATAGAGTCTAATTCTATTGGCTTTCAAAAGCCAATAGGAATTGTCCAGGCTGTCTCTGCCCTGCTGAGCCCGCCAAAAGTCCCATTCTGCAAATGGTACTGCACTAGTTGAGTAGTCCTCGACATGACCAGTTGAGTAGTCCTTGACTTACAACTGGTTGGGGGTCGCGGCATTAAAAAGGTTGAGAACCACTGCCATAGACTATTACAACCACACAGCATCACCACAGCACATAAACCAATTAAAGCTCTCCAAAACATTCTAAGTAAACCAAAAGACCCAGTAGCCCAAGAAGACAAAAAGAAAAGGGAGTCGTCTACAAAAGAGGTCCCTAACCTTTTGGGCACTGGGCACTGGTTCCATGGAGAAAGGTTTTTCCGCGGA